AGGCTCTTACCTTCTCTGAAAAACCCAAAAGGAGATCTGAGCTGAGAAGAGATATCTTTGGGGTACCAGGGACTGAACAGAAAGGTCCCAGAAGCCATAGAAAATAAAAGACAGCTCTGGAGTACAAAAATGTCTTCAGAAAATGTTCTGATAGAACAAGAGACATCATCACAGGGATTATAAAGGTTCTGAGTAGGCCAGAGAGACCAAAGAAGTTCTGGGAACACACTGAGGAACTCAAAAGGGAATTTAACAAAGTACAGATACCCTCAGTGGGCTGGAGACCAAAGGGAGGCACACTGAATGGATGAGAGGACAAAAAGACCAACCTGGTTAACAGATATGGACTCAGGAAGGGGTTCTGAGGGAAAAAAGGGGTGAAAGTGCCCTTCTGAGCTAGAACAGGGCTCTGGGGATGTTTTATGAGAGTTCAGCAAAGGGAGCAGAGGGGTCTCGAGGGGAGCTGAGAGGCCAAAGAAGCCTCAGAGACAATGAGGAACTCTGAAGGGGATTTCAACAAAGCACAGATGTCATCAGGGTGGTAGGGTACTAAATGGCAAAGAGGGGACCAAACAGGAATCCTAGCTAGCGTAGAGGACAAAACATGTTCTGGGCCTCAGAGGCAGCGTTAGGAATGGTTCTGAGGGAGCAAGAGGGGTACAAAGTGCACTACAGAGAGGAGAGAGCTGTGGTACCCAAGGAAAGTCTCAGGAGGCATCATGAAAGATGTTCCCGATGGCTTTTGTGGAGTTTGCTGAAGCCCTTGAGAGGCACTGCTGCCTTCCAGAATCTCTGGCAGCTCCTGATGGGCTTTACCAAGGAGTCCTTCTGCCTTCCAGAGTGTCTGACAGCTTTTGCTGGGCTTTCCCAAGGCCCTCAAAGGGCATTACTGTCTTCCAGAGTACCTCAGGGCTTTGCTGACCCCCAGGCTGGGTGTGGGCTGCTGGGGGAGGGATTGTGTGGCTGGGTGCAGGGTGAGAGGCTTGGGGCTGGGCTTGGTGTAGGGGTCTGGAGGCTGGATTTGGGGCTGGGTGTGAGTTGGTGCTTAGTGGAGTACAATGCTGGGTGTAGGTGGGTGCAAGGAGGGGGTGGAGGTGGTACAGAGTGGGTGTGGAGCGGTTGTGGGGATTGAAGGTGGGCACAGGGGCTTGGCTGTTGCTGTGCCCTGCAGTGCTCAGCCAAGGGCAGGCCAGGGGTGCAGCATGGGGGGATGCCAAGGGGACAGTGGTGGGGACACTAGAGCAGATGAATGCAGCCCCCTGGAGCAGCCCCCGGCCCTGCAGCCCTATGCCACCCCCCCCCACACACACCTCTCCCCCTGGTTCATCGCCACTCGGAGCCCCTGAGTCCTCAATGCCTGGCCACAGAGTGCCCTCTGTCCCCTGTCCCACAGGTGCCTGGCTGTGGGGTGCCCTATGTCCCCCTTCACCATGAGTCCCTGGCCATGGAGTCCCCTCCGTGTCCCCCATCCCCATACATCCCAAAACCATTAGGTCCCCCCTGCTGCCCTCTCACCCCACTCTGTCCTCAGTGCAGTCCCCACAGCCGCACAGTGCTCCCAAGCATGCCGGAGGGCACCCAGGCACGGGACACACAGTGCTTGACCCCCAAGAAGACCCTCAGCACCTTCTGTGCACCCCACATGAAAACCAGCACCAAGCACTTCTGCAACACCCACCCCTGCGCCCTGGAGCTCAGTAAGGGACAGTCACGGGTCGCACATGCCCCCATCAGGGGCCGTGCTACTCCACAGCCTGTCCCCAGGGTCCCCACTGGCACTGTCCTGCTCAGGGACACCCCCAGAGTCCTGCCTGTTCCCCGCACCGCTCCTGAGCACCCCACAGGACACTCGCATCAGTGCTGGGGTGTGCGGGGAACCCCCAGTCCCAGTTGGGCGTGGGACAGGGCTGTTCAGGGGTGCTGGCCACAGGGCTGTTAGCAGCATGCCAGATGCAGGGCTGGGTGCTGGCCTTGGGCATGGGTGCTGCTGGAACACAGTGTCCTGCCAGCACATTCCTGCCTGAGTCACTGCCGGCTCCTGCCTGGGCAGGTCCGTGGCCACAGCCCCACAGCAGCCCCACTCCACCCCACGCCCTGCAGCTGGGCCAGCCCCACATGCACTCAAACCCTGCTTCCCCCCCCTCCCCGCCCCACACTCAAATCCTGCTTCCCCCCCCCAATCAATGCATATACACGAATAAGTGCCCATACCCCCACTCATCCCTATGCCCCTCCCACCTCATAAACCCGGTAACTGCAGAGCCCCACCCGCAACCTATACACCCGCTCTGCCCTATACACACTCTCTCTATACCTTATCTCCTGGACTCCCTAGAGCCCCACGAACACCTCTGCATCCCACACTCACACTGTTTACGCTCCCATTCCTCAATACACACCCCACCCCTCATAACCCCCCATGTCTGGGGCAGGGACGGACACACACACACACACACGACACTGAGGAGTGGAGTCACGGAGGAGGAGGAGGAGGGAGGCCTTCCTCGTGGCTGCCTCCTGGCCAGGGCCAGAGCTGTGAGCTGGGGAAGGCGGGGGTGGGGTGGGGGTGGTGGCCGCTCCCACGCCGGTGTCACCCCAGGGCCTGGGAGGGGGATGGGCCACCGGACGCCCTGGTTCCTGGAAGAGGCCACGTGACTTCCCCATATGCTATTAGCAGCCGTTGTTGCTGGGCAGAGCCGCGCCGGGCAGGCCAGAGCCCACGGGGACACCGCGACACCCCCAGGAGGGCCCGAGCCACCCCCGGGCTCATCCCGGGGAGAGGACAGGAGCCCACCGAGGCCAGGGATCCTTCCCTGGGGCGGGGGGGGGCGATGCGACCTCCGGCAGCCGGCCTGCCACACACCCTACCCCGGGGGAGCCGGAGGGGTGGGGGGCTGAGGCCTGACAAGGGTCATTACAGGAGTGCAGTGACACCCACCCACCCGCGTGCCGAAACCAACCAAATACTTGTCATTTCAGCCCAAATGAGTCACCCGCCCCCACGCCCGACGGGGGGGGGGGGGGGGGCAGGCAGGGGCGGTCCCCAGCACCCAGCTGTGGCCACCCTGATAACCCCGGGGCACGCACACACACACACAACAGGGGGTAGGGGACAGTGCTGCTCCAGGAAGCCCCTCTCCCCTCAAAAGCCTGTTTCAGGGGTCTGTACCCGAAGGGGATGTGTCTTGTCCCTGCCCAGGGATTCCTCATGGAGGCTCTGCACTGCCCCCCCACCCCACGACACCGGTTCTGGGAGGGGGCTACCCCATGGATGGGGGAAGAGGACAATGCCCCCCCCCCCCCCCCCCCAAGTGCGGGTTGTGAGGGGAAGCACTGTGCCAGCAAGGCAGGAAGGCAATCACCAAGTAGACTCCAAAGAAAAGAACACATTTAGGGCAAAAACAGGCCAGGCTCCTGTCGAAAGAAATAGCATATAATATTACCCAAGCCCCCAATACACAACTGTGGCCATGAAGCCAGAAATGCGCAAGAATTGGGGTTTTTTTACCAGGCAGGGGATTTTCTGTATTTGCATGTGCCCCCTCCACCCACAAACACCGTCAGTGCAAGCTTTCGAAGGCCTCCCCCCACCAGAGGCAGCAGGGCCAGATCCTGGTTCTGCCCCATTTGGTAAAGAGGCAGCAGCAAGGGCAGGGGGAGTCGTGCTCTTTTTCTAACATTTCTCCTCCCACCACTGGGCAGTGCCCAGAAGCCCACCTGCCCTCTTTCCCAGGGGTCCCAGGTAGAAGGGGGGACCCAAAAGAAGCCAGGCACCAAGTACACCCCTAACCTGCAACCTCCCTCAGACACAGCAGCTGCTTTAATTCCCCCACCCACTTATTTACACGAAAGGTTCACAGAAGTCAAAGCCTGCTTCTGCGAAAAGCCCTCAAGAGGAGCGGAAGAGGAAGCCCCTGGTTTATCCGCGCTGAGCCAGGCGTTATCAGAGTGCTGCGGCTTCCAGGAAGCACCAGCACCCCAGCCCGCTCTGAGCCCACCAGCGCCTTTGCATATTTCCATGGCAAAGGCCCAGCTTTGCATGAGGGCCCTGCTGCACCCCAGGGGACCAAACAGGCCCAAAATCGCTTACAAAGACATAGCATTAGAAAAAAAAAAAAAAATCCACACCAAAAAAAAAACCAAACCCAACAAAAAAAAACATTTTGCAGTATCTGCATAACAGGGCTGAGCTATCAGCCTGTTTTCAGCAACAAGGGCCTCTCCAGCACTGCAGGAAGCTGATGACTCTCCCAGTTTACAGTAAGGCTTGACAGCCCCCAGAGCTGGAGCAGTTTTTGCAGTAGGGAAGTGCTTTGCCCATCAGGAGGGGAATTTTTGAACCAATGCTGATCCTGGCAGGAGGAAGCTGTTCAAAGCCCTGGCCCAAGCAACTGCGCCCTCCATCCCCAACCTGCAGGAATTGAAACTCGGGGGCCACAGGGCAGGGAGCGGTCTCAAGGAACAGGGTGCCTCTGCAGCAACTGCAACACCAGCTTGCTCTGCCCAGACAGAGGAGGGACAATACTAATGCTAGGTGACTGAAGCCCCACAGAGTTCACCTCTCCACTCAGAAGGGGCAAGGAGCAGGGCTCACCCCCAGGCTCCAAGAAGAGTACCCTCCCCTCGGGGCTGACGCAGAGAGCACCAAGCCCCAGCCACTAAGCACAGACACCCAGAGCACCACAGCACGCCTCAGGGCACCGCAAAAAAAGTGGTTTCAGAGTGTGCAGGCACTGAGCACAAGGTGCCTTGTGGACTTTCCCCACCCACGTACACAGTGAAGAGCATCTCAGCACAGAGCAGATCTGGGGAGCCCCAATGAATGACAAGACACCCACAGCACTTCTCCACAGCCCGCAGAGGCTTTCTAATAAGCAAGAGGCTGTGGGGTGCCCCACAGGGAACATCCGTGCAGAGAGGCCCACACTAGCAAAGCAAAGCATGAGCATTTAGCACACCAGCATCTCATTACAGGAAACAGCAAGTTCTATACTAGAGAATTGAGAACAAAAACATTTATTGACAAAACTAAGTGCTTGTTCAGCAAACAAGCAGGCCTGACAATAGCACCATCTTTCACCTCTCCAGGTGGGTTTCCATTGGGCATCACTCAGGCTGCAGGTCAGGCAGCATGGAGGAGGATGATCCTCACTGTGCAGGACCTGGTCCCAGAGAGTAGATCAAGAACCAACCAATCCATGATTGGACGAGGTGGACAAGCACTGCAAGCCCACTGAGAAGCAATGCTACCAGCTGGGGATGAGGGACTGAGCCCAAGGCTGGCATCAATGGATTTGCACAAGCTGCAGATCCGAGCTGACAAGTTTTATTCTGCTCCAGAACATTTACATTCAAACATCAGCTTCGTTCAACTCATGGCTTAGAGGATCAAAATGAAGGGAAGACAAGGAAGCAACTGATACCAACTTCCAAAGCTTCCCCCCTGCTAGAACAGCTAGAATAACCAAAAAGATTAAAATAAACAGGAACATCAACTGTTGCCAGCAAGCTGTGGGCACAATGAGAGTCCAACAGGCTACTGATCCTTGTTACACTCCCTGGCAATGTTGCTCAAGTACATCAGAGAAAGGCTTGCTTGGAGTCAAGGCAGGAGAAGGCTTCGCCACAAAAATGCTACTTCACTTGAGGAATGAAGTACAGTGCACCCATAAGCAGTTCTACCACATTCAAAATTCCTCCTTTTTGTATCATTAGCTCTGTAAAAATGTACATATTCTACAGATTTATAGATATTTACAGGTTCTCTACAGCCTCCCCACCCCATGTGGGGTTTTACATACTTACAAATGCACTCCCTATTTATAAATTGCCTATGTGTGGTGAGTCGCATCCGTGTAGCTGAGATCAGCCAGACAGGCTGATGCGGCTGCACTGCAGCTGACTGTGGTTACCACACCCAGCCCCGCCTCACCCCACCCTGAAGCTCCTCTGCCTGCCCAGTGACCCAGCTGAAGGCCTGCTGGGAGGGAAGGGACCAGACAGGGCTCCAGCAGCCCATTTTCTGGCATTGTGTTGCACATCTTGGCTGCTGGCACGGCTCTGCCACTTCTGGAGGGTGGACAGGTGCAGAGCCAGCAGCAGCTGAAGGCCCACTTGCCAGCACACCTGGGGCAGGCGCAGGCTAGCACAACACCCAGCATTCGATGCTTCTGCTCCAGCAGAAAAGCCACAAGTTAGGCAGGACAGCAGCAGATGCTATTTCCAGAAACACACAACCACAGCCCTGAAACATCTGCTTCACACACAGCTGCTGTGCCAAGCCCAGGAGGCCTCAGTCCAGACAAGAGCTGCTGGTGCTCACTGGCTTGCTGCTACGCAGATTGGTTCCCTCTGGGATAAAACTGAAGCAGTTCACTTAAGCCTTCTGTCATTATTCTCTTGAAGGAAGCAGAACAACAATTCTTCCACTTTCTGTCCCAAAGCAATAAATGCTCATCGGTACCCACAATCTGACTGGATTGTACCTTCCTTCTCAGGAAAGGATTGCTCAGGGGATGCCTAGATATTCTCCTTGGGTCACTCAAGTCCAACTTCAAAAGAACTCACAGGAAGAAGTGATGAGCTCGCCAGCCCCAAACAGAGCCAGGCCACCCAGAGTTTTGTCCATCGGCAGCACGCTCTGGCTCACCGGATCATGTAGGCCAAGCTCACTCCCAGTCCAGCCACGCCTGCAAACGCCATCAGTACATTTCTGATGCTGCCTTCTAGGTCCTCAACTCGAAAGAAGTCAACAAAGCCCTCCTAGGAGAAAGAAGGGAAAGTCATTTCTCTGCCAGCCACCCTTCTTTGGCAAGAAGGCATGGAAAGCCTTTTTCCCCTGGCAGCCTGACCAGCACATTTGTATGCTCCCCCAGACTCATTCTGGCCACAGCCTGCCCCACAGAGGCAGCAATCAGGAGACAGCACCAAAGCAGCTGTGGACCTGCTTCAAGCAAGTTCCAGCACACCCAGGATTGACTTGGCTTTGGGAATGCTGCCCCCTCTGTGCTGGGCAGAGGCACATTTTTAGGTCAACACTGCTTCAGGCAGCTCAGTGTAAGGAGCTTCTGAAACACCAGAATTTCAGCTAGATGTTTCAGACTGCGGTTTTAACTGGAGCAGTGAGTCATCTCTCTGCTTCGCTGACACGTGGCTGTCAGTGAGCAGGTCACAGAAATAGGAAAATACTGGATTGTTCTGAAAAGCTCACAGTGTTCAGGACAGGCAATGACTCACCCAGCCTCCCTGGCTCATTAGCCACTCGCGCTTAGATGAGACGAGCGCATCCGTGATGATCCCTGCCAGTGAGCTGATACACTTCTCCTGGTTTATACTTTTCAGGTGTTTTGCAACAAAGGCACCAAACGAGATGAGCGTCACCACTCTACCCCAGTTTGTTACTCCATCACTGAACATGTGGGCAGTCACTTCACACACCGACTGCAGATCTTCCTCTTTCTGGATTTCCAGCTTCCGAAGCATTCCTGCAAGAGATGTTGGTTTAGAGGCAGGCACACACGACACTGAATACCCTGCAAGGCCACCAGTGAGAAGATGCAGCCCCCACACTCTGGGTCCCAAAGCTGTAACAGAATCACTGCCAAGCGTTGGTGATGGAGAATAAATACCTGCCTGCTTCTGCATAGGGCTATGTGGCTCACAATTGCCCTGGCCAGACATAAAACAGCCCAAAATCAATTTCTAGTTCCTCCCTCCCCACCTCAGGCACAGCTGCCGTCTCTGTGCACGTCACACTCCCTTATCTCACAAGGGCTTTAAAGCCCCACCACATCAGAACCACAGCACATAAATCAGGTTGCAGCCTGGCGCAAACCCTGCCCCTCAAGCTGAAATGAAGGACAGTCACTTACAGGCAGGCAGATGTGTTGCCGTTTTATTAATGTGGTTTTAGTTACTGGAACAAAAGGATTCCCCAGCTTGACCCGCAGTGCCCCCTCACAAATAAGCAAACAAGACAAGTCTTTTTGAAACCGAAAGGCATTGCTTGTTGTTGCTCAAACTAACAGGAAGCCTTCCTTAAGTCAGTTCCTTTTCTGCACACATGAAGATAACCGTCCCTACAGAAGCCTCTGATACCAACACCAGCTCACATTGGTCTGAAGATTCCTCTCAAGCGTGGCTCGTTCAATGAGCACATCCATGAATTTGGCCAGGGTAACTAAACCCACAGTCTTTGACATCAGGACAGCTAAGGATGGGAGGAAGAAACTGAAACTTTGCATTGTAAAAAAAAAAAAAAAAAAAAAAAAAAAAAATCGCACAAAAAGCTAGAACATTCTCTCCCAAGAAGGAAGGCGTTTTACAACATGCCTCAGGAGGAAATGCAGACACTACCCTTCTGTGCCAGGTACCATCCTGACCTGGGATCAGACGTGGTGTGGCATGCCAAAAGAAGCCCCAGCACGAGTCCTGAGGCTGGGAGCTCAGCCCCACCACCTCAACATCTCAGGCTAGCCCCAAAAGAGCTCACTTCTGAGCTACAAAACCAGGTCAAAACAGTCAGTTCTCACTTCCAGTCTGTTCCCAGGACACTGCAATGAGGACACCTGTTCATCCAAGCCCAGGCACTGGGGTTCAACTTTCTATGGCTATTCTAGAACTCATCAGAAGTGGGTGAAATACATTAAAATAGCTATAACTGAGCACACTGTCTGGGAAAATTTCTCTCCCAGAAACCTTGTTCCACCCGAGCCAGGGGTGTGAGGAGCTTAAACTCCTTAGCCAACTAGTCTTTGGACGTTTGGGATTATTTGCACACAGTCGTGCTGAGGAAGGCAGGACACAAGGAGGAACTGGGGCTAATCTGTAACTAGATTATCTCCTCTGCACACATTACAAGCAGTTTTTCCACCTCCCAATCGAACAAAGTTCAGTTTCATTTTCAATCACCTCCCGGCTCATTTTAACTCCCTGGAAACCACAGCCACGTCCCATCCGGTAAACGACCCAGCGGGGAGCTCAGGCGCCCCCCACCCCCTCCTTGGCGGGGGGGGATGGTGCAAAGGCCTCGCTCCAGCCCCCGCCATGCAGCAGCCTGCAGCCCACCCATCTCGGGGGCCCACCCACAGGGCAGAGGAAGCAGACACAGGGGCGGGATCTCCCGGGGACCCTCTTCGAGGGGCGAGCCCTCCCCAAACCCCCTCACCGGGAAGGGACGGGGCCTATAGCTCGCCTCTAAAGGAGGGGAAGTAGGCTCCAGGCGCACCCCCACAACCCCCGGGGAGGAGCCGGCTGCCACCCACCCTGGAACGCGAGCTCGTGTTTCTGCATGACACCGTCGCCGACCCTCCGCAGCGTCTCCAGCGCCTTCTCCATCACGGCATCACCCGATCCCCCCGGCCGGCCGGGCCCGCCCAGCAGCCCCGGGAAGAGCTTCTTCGCGCCGGGTTCGGCCTCACCCGCCGCCTCCCGCAAGTAGCGACTGATGAGCTCCAGCGAGTCCTGCCGCAGCCCGTCGGGCGGCGGCGGCGGCCCGGGAGGCGTACCGGGCAGCGAATCCCCCCCCGGGCCACGCTCGGCCTCGGGCTCGCAGCCGTCCAGCTCCTCCTCGGGGCTCCACAGGGCGCCCGGCCGGGCCGCGGGGGGCAGCGCCGCCGCGCCGCAGCCAATCAGCGCTCGTGAAGCCGCGGTCGGGCCAATCAGCGGGCGGGGGGTCTCGGGGCGCCCGGCGGCGGCCCAGGCCCTCGCGGAGCCAATCAGCGCCCGGGGTACCTCAGCAGCGGCGGCGGCGGGCTGCGGCGGGGTCGGGCCCCCTCCCGGCGAGGCGGGAGCCAGGGACGGGCCGCCGCCGCAGTAGAGGTTGAAGCCGATGACGGCGTTCCGCTTCACGGCGAACATGGCGCACGGACGGCGAGCTGCGCGGGTGAGCGCGTCGCTGCCGCTTATATGGCGGCGGTGACGTGGGCGCAGCGGAGGCGGGGTGAGGCCGCACCGGTTCCGTTTCCGGCGCCGCTTCCGGCCCGGCCCCGGCCAGGGGATGGTGCTGTGGGGGCGGGGGCCGCGCCTCGCCTCGCCTAGTCACGGCTTTTGGGGCTGAAAAAGGGCGAAGGAGTCGCCGCCTCTGTGGAGAAGCGTTCCTCCCGCCCGGCCTCGTCTGGGCCTTGCTGCGGCCCCAGGCCCCCTGATGCTGCCGGGCCCCTGGGCCGTACTTGGACCCGGGCAACAGCCCCTCAGCAATGCAGGGTACCCCCGGGCTGGTACACCCCGTCCCCGGCACCACCACGGCCTGCTGTACTTTTCCCCCCCTGCCCACAGCACCACGGGGTGCTGCAGTGCCCCAAGTCCCCCTGACAAAGCTGGACCCAACCGCGGCCCCCCTCCCAACACAGGGCATGCACTTCTCACAGTTTGTACCATTTTCTGAGGGGCTGCATGTCCCTCCCTTCTCTCAGCCTGTTTTCTTTGGTTTTTGCAACAAAGCATCCCCTGGCAAGGCCATAAGTGTGCAGACAGCAGGACTGAAGCCCTGGCACGTGCAGGGAGCTGGGACACCCTTGCTGGGGTACACCAAAAGGGCTGCTTGGGAGTGGGGTGCATGGTGTACTCTGGTGAGACCTCCCGCTGGAGCAGTGCATCCAGCTCTGGAGTCCTCAGCACACAGAAGGCATGGACCTCTTGGAGCGGGTCCAGAGGAGGCCACAAAAATGATCAGAAGGATGGAACATCTGTGCTATGAGGACAGGCTGAGAGACTTGGGGTTGTTCAGCCTGGAGAAGAGGAGGCTTGGAGGAGACCTTATTGCAGCTTTAAAGGGGCTTATAAGAAAGATGGGGACAGACTTTTTAGTAGAGCCTGTTGCAATAGGACAAGGGGTAATGGTTTTAAAATAAAAGAGGGTAGATTCAGACTAGATATGAAGAAGAAATTTTTTATGCTGAGGGTAATGAGGCACTGGCATAGGTTGCCCAGAGAGGTGGTTGATACCCCATCCCTGGAGATGTTCGAGGTCAGGCTGGACAGGACTGAGAGTAACCTGATTTAGTTGAAAATGTCCCTACTCATGGTGGGGGGGGTGTTGGACTAGATGAGCTTTAAATTTCCTTTCCAACCTGAACTATTCTATAATTACATCACTTCCCACTTGCTCAACATTTTACCTGGACCTGTCTGGTTAAAGCCCTCTCCAATTTGGCTCACTTAGCTGGATGTTCACAGGGAACTACTCCATTTCTTACAGTCATTGGTGGGTTGCTTCACATCTCTCTCATTACTCAAAACCTCCTTGCATCCACAAGTCCTGTCATAACCCATCACCTGGGACACCTGGGAGTACTTTGCCCAGTCTTGGCATTGTTGGGGCACTGGCTCTCAATTCTGATCTTCCCTGGCCACAGGCCTGTCCTTCACCCCCTGGAACTAAGCCTGATGCCCACAAAATCTGCCCCATTTTGGGCAAAACCTGGCTGGGAGAAAAGCCATGGGGATCTGTGACAATGCAGGGGGATGAGACACTCCCCAGAGAGGCAAATGCCGTGGCTTTGCTCCAGGGCAGTGAGGAGGGAAAGGTCTTACCAGCACCCCTTTGCCAGACCCCTTACGGGGCTGTGTCCCAGGGACTGTGCTCTGCTCCATCCTCGCCTCTGGGAACACCCAGGATGGCGAACAGTGCGGGGGAAAAGGCAGCTGCCCTCCTGCAGAGCTTGCCTGCACAGCCAAGCACCAGTGCAGCTCAACCTGCTACAGCTTTGGGGCCTTTTTATGCCTAACCAGACCCAAGACACTGGAAATTGGGGTTTGGGGCCGCCAGAAGTCACACCCCTAGTTACTCTCTCTGAAGGCAGGACAGGGTTTCCCTCCAGGCCCTGATGGCACGCAGGTGGCCAGGCCAGCAACACCAGGAAAGCGTGCTGGGGCCTCTCCAGGCCACTGCTCTGCCCAAAGGCCACTGAAACACCCTGTGGCAGCAGAGCCCCAAGCCCCACCTGGGAAGGTGGCATCCACCCTAAGGCACCCAGCCAAGGCGCCGCAATGTCACAGAACTGAGATGTGATGAGAGCAAGACGCTGGGCCAGGGGCTGCAGCAGGAGGTTCTGGTCTCCCCTCCTGGTGCAGGCAGGCTCACTGCTGAACCCCCAACAGCCCTGTGAAAGGGACCCGGGAAACACCTACCCACCCTGACAGCCGGGTCTTGACGGCAGGCAGTCGTGGTGCCTTGGGATTTGGGGGGGGTGAGGGGGACCCAGATGTGAGCATAAAATGCCAGATGTGGGGAGAGAATGCCAGTACAGCTCCTCAAATGGGTCTTTCTGTTCCAGGGAGGCAGCGAGGACATGGTGAGCTCCCACTGTGAAGAAGCCTGGTCAGCATTTATGGGGACAGAAACTGCAGCAAACCCAAGACTCTGTCACCGTCCTGAGCATCACCAAGCACTGTCAGGAACAGCAAAGGAGGAAGCTGTGGTGAGCACAGGGCACACAGCCCCATCCCGAGTGACTGAAAGTGCTCTTGGCCCAGATCTTGCAAAAAACAGGGACATGCATCCACCCCAGGTGCCCCTTTACCCCACAAACTTGCCAACTCCTTTCCCAGCTGCCACCCCACAAACCAGGGTGAGAGCACAACTGGGTTGCACTAAGGTCCAGCAAGACAAAACCCAGCCCCCTCAAAATCCTTCCCGTGGCCCCAAGGAATGCATCCTTGTCGGGAAGTGAATTCTTGGCACCAAGAGCAATAACAGAGGCAAGCTCAACTTGCTCTGGCAGCTTGGGGCAGCGCCCAGCACATATTTCCCCAGCAGTGCCAAGCTTTAAAGCACAAACAAACAGCGGCACATACTTAGCACCAGGCTGGAACAGCATGTCCCTGGGCAAACACCAGGCCCTGGCCCCCTCTGTCAGGTGGGCTTGAGGGGCTGTGAACTGGCCAATTGCTGGGGGGAGGGGCGACAAGATGCAACATAGAAGCTTCAGGAAGCCCCAGGGAGGGTCAGTCGGTTCATTTGAACTGTGGCCCTCCCAGGTGACACCATCAGCTGGGCTGTTAAACTCTAGAAAGGAAAGGTGTGACGTCAAGGCTGAAAATCCCAGAGTGAAAACCTCCTGGGTGGCTGCCAGTGGGGACAGAGGGAGGCACAGTGGGGTGATGTCACTGTGGGGCAGCCCTGACCCCTGACACCAGGGGCCCCTGCCCCATGGCATGGAGACATGGCAGGGATTTCTTTTGAAGGCAGGAGGATAAACCCCACCTCCCTCTGGGATCCCCCACAAGCCTCTCAGCTGTGAGCCAAGGTGGCTTCTGGTCCCGCTTGGCCCCTGTGGCTGCACAGTGGGATGGACCCCATGCACCCCTGCCCACCCAGATCTGATACACCCCACACCCTCCTCCTTGTCCCTCGCACACCCCAGTTAGGTATACCCCCATGGCCCACCATGCACACCCATAACTCTATAGCTGGGATTCAGCCTCACACACCCCCCACAGGCCCTATTACCAGGGCACAGCCCTACAAACACCCCATAGCCCCACTGCCAGGGCTCAGCCCCCCGTGGAACCTACAGCCTCATTGCTGGGGGACAGCCCCATACAAACCCAACAACCCCATTGCTGGGGGGCCAGCTCTCCCTCTACACCCTAGAGCTGGCGATGAACCCCACATACACATCATGGCTCCATTGCTGGGGAACAGCCCAGCATGGCCCCTGCACAGCCCACAGAGATGGGCACTGCACTGCTCGCATCTTTGGGGCGGGGGAGGTGTTGCACAGCAGTAGCTGAAACAAGCTCTGAACGAGGAAGAGGAAGAAGAAAGATCAGGGACTTCCAGAAATTTCACTGAGGCCCATCGGGTTCTCTCCATGCCCTCTCCCACCTGATCCCCATCCACGGGGTGCAGAGGCACAGCTACCCCTGCCTTACCTATTACAACACAACCACGTGTGAGCTTGGCTCCCTCTGTGCCCCATCCCACCCCACAGCTGCACTTTGAGGGCCTTGCTCGAGCTGTACAAGTTCCTCTGACACCCTGGTGGTTGGTTCTAAATGTGTATTTCCTCCTGCTGGCTCACCCCGACAGCCCTTTGGGCTTCAAGCCTCTCACTGCTATCAGTCTTATCCGTGTGGTAATATTTTATGAGGAGCAGAGGGTAAGAATGCAAATGCCTTTGAGATCCAGGACTGTTCCCACTGTACCCTGTCCTGCAAGAGGTGGGCAGTGGTGCAGACAGCATCATCACTTCCTCACTGACTGCCTGGCTCTGGGGGTGGAATGGAAATAACTATGCACCATGGTTACTACCCTTTTACAGAATTGTTCTTGCTAGTTCTCATCCTGTATCGTCACAATCGCTTCCCCCTCCTGCGCAAGCATGACTGGCATTTCCGGAAAACCGGGGAATGATCTGGTTCAAGAGAAGTCCCCCCCCTCTGCCCCCCCTTGAGCACAGGGTCAGTGCCCGAGCTGCAACGCCCCTTTGCATTCTTCACTATATTTCCTGTTTTGTTTTTGTTTTTGTTTTTTTTTTTTCTTTTTTTTTAAAAAAAGCAAGCATAGCACTCTAGAAGTGAGGAGAGATGAACATGTAAAAAATTATATATATTTTTATATATATGATTCATATCTATTTACAACATGGCTGGGACAGACAGCAGAACATTCAAGGAGGTTGCACAGCCACTGCCAGCACTGCCCTGGTCAGGTCACACAGGGTCTGGAAAGGCAATGGAGACAGAACAGTGGACCTGTGGTTACAAGTGGGCAGCCCCCAATCCTGCTGTGCTCCTTGCCCACTCCATAAAAAGAAAACTGTCCTCTGCGGCCATGGGGCCAGCAACAGAGCCCCTTGCCCACAGTGTCCAGATGAGCAGAGCCGTGGCTGGCTTGCTCCAAACCACCTGAAGGCAGACGCAAGCATTCCAGCACACCCTTGGCAAACACTCTCCCAGAAAGCAACACTGCGTTCCTCACTTCAGCCAGCAGCAGGAAAGAGTAGAGAGTGAAACACGTTCTCAGGAAAGCCCGGGTCAGCCAGCCAAGAACACATGTAAGGAAAGCGGTGCCTGTGCAGAGCACTGCCTGTAGCCTCCCTGTCTTGGTTTCTCCTGACCTGATTGGAATCCCTAAAGGAAGAAAAAAAGACGCCCACTTGACTTCCTTTTGCACACACGCCTTCAAATCTGGGCCTAAACAGGGCAGGTTTAGCACTGCCCTGGCACAGGCATGCCGAGATCTTCCACTGCACAGGATGGGAGTCCACGTTGTCTCTGCTGCATGTGGAGGGGACAGTACACGCACCGAGCATGCATGTCATTCTGCAGGCTGCAGCCATCTCACCAACCTTTTGGTTTGGTTTGTTTGTTTTTGCTTTTGGGTTTTTTTTTTAGGCCTGGAGCAAATAAAAGGCAAGAAGAAAAAGGAGAAGAAATAAATACAAGTTTGGGGTGCTTCACACTGCCAACACAGGTTTGCCTCTGCACTCCTCTCTTCCTAATCTCCCTGCTGTCTGTCTCCAGTGCTTTTTTCCCTTCCATGGTGGTTATTCCCAGTCTTGCCTCTCTCCCTCCAGAGATCAGCTCCAACAGCTCACATCTGTCTCAGCAGCTGCTGCCAGCCCTGCTCTGCAAGCACCAAAGTCTGGGCATCAGGCAGGGGCTGGATGTGACCTCAGACAGGGCTCTGCCTGGCTGCTTGGCTGTGCTTTCCTGTGTTCCAAGCACCCTGCTGCTGGTGGGATTCAGCTCACTACCTTCTGCTGCCCACCCTGCAGCCAGGAGAGGAGCCAGCTCTCACCCTTGCCAAGGCAGCCAGCCTCACTGGCCAGAACTGACCAGGGAGGGAGAAACTGCCCCCAAATCCTCTGGGGCAGCTGCAAGCGTCATGCTGTGCCCCCTCATCACAGCCACGCTCAGATGCAGCTGTGGTAGGGGCTCTACCTCCGGAGCAGCAAATGCCTCATCGCAGCTCCAAGCCACGAGGACTGTTTCAAACACTACCTGGCCCCTCTCCCACAGCTGTTGGACACATCATCCCCTCGTGTGAGCTCAGATGTTTTGTGCAAGCAGGGGACAGATCGCAGGCAGCTCAGCCCAGAAACACAGCCACGTGATTTTTTGCATATCAGCTACCCTCTTCACTTTGAAACTCTAACGCACACACTTAACTAAACTTCCAGATCATGTATCACACCTTATGCCCAACAGGCTCTTCCTCTGCAGACACCAGATGTCTGAAGAGCATTCACACGCCACAGCTCTGAGCTCTCCCCTCCTACCCAGTGCCAAGCAAAACAGCAAGCAACTCCTTTGAGCAGAGCATGTCCCTGCTTCTCTTGGGGCTGCTCAACTCTCCCAGAGAGAAGGCAGCGCTTCAGTGGCCCTGCAAGTGAGAATGGTTTCAAACAGCACGAAAATTAAGGCAGCAAACCGACTCGCTAAAAGGAATGGCCCAATCAAATCTGCCTGTCTGTCCTGGGCTACTGACACCTCTCACTCGCCTTCTCAGTTTTGGTGTGTTTGCTGTAAATACTCAAATAACTATGTGGATTCTGGTGCTCTTGTCCCTATAGTACAGTGAAGTTCAATCCATTGAGCCAAAAGAAAAAAAGAAAATAGGAAAAAACCCAGCCTGTGAGTGCAGGCTACCCTGCCAACTTGCTGGTTACAAGTGAGGATTTTCTCTGCGGGAGGTCCTGCGGTGTAGGGATGTGGTCTCCTGTCACCAGGTTCTTGTCTGGCCCCGCACTTGGCAACTGCTTGTTCTTCATCTTTGCCTTGGCCATGTTGTAGTCACCAGAATCAAAATATTTTTGCTGGAAGAGGGAGAGGAGTTTGGGTTACTTTGATTTGCAGGAGCGTGGGGACACAGAGATACATCTGGCCACAAATATGATGCTTTAAGGAGGTGCTGAGGTTGCTCAAAATCCGGTCACAAAAACATCATGCCAGGGTAAAATTCAAGTAAGGGAGCCTGGCCTATTTTAAAAGGCCTTTAGTACCCACCCACAAACCCAAGTGACTCAGACCTGTCCCAGCTGGAAGCAGCTTTGCCCCATGGTAGCTGCCTGTCTGACTCGACACCAGGGTGCATTTTCTCCCTTTGACCTACCTTTGGGTGTTTGCAGCCTGTGAGCTGTTGGTGCTTGGTGTGGCACTTCCTGGGTAAAGATCAAGTTTGTCCTGCTCTGCCCCTGCATCACACTCAGCATGACAGGGATTCAATCCCAGTCCAGAGACCCCCAGACAGCTGAATGGAGGCACAGCCACATCAGCAGATGCCTCCAGGCAGAGGCTCAGCTACAGTGGAAAAACCAAGGGACATTTGCTGATACAGTTTAATTCTGATTTGGTGAACTGATGAACCCATGTGACAGAGGCAGGATTTTCTTCCCAGGGAGCACGGCCTGGCTGGTGCCAATGCCTTTACTGGACCATCCAGGCTCCCAACAACCAAAACAACACAGGGAAATGACTGCAGAGACGTGGCTGGAGGACACCTCCCTGCTGCACAGCACCACTGATCTGGGGTTCAAAGGGCATTCCACTCCCTGAACACACACATCACCATGGGAACCTGTGCTCCTCCATGGTGCTGCTTCACTCCCCGCAGTGGTGTAGGAAAGGCTGAACACCAAAGTAGACCTTGTGCCAGTGCTACAGACAGCATTTTTCTGTGCACAAGGAGCTCTGAAGAGCCCAGTTCTGCCTCCATGTGCTGTCAGGCCCCAGCGAGCACAGCCCAGACAAAAAGCCCTTCCCCGCATCAGCACCGAGCTATTCAACAACCCTCCTTTTCTGTGCTTGCTTTAGGAGCTGGTACATAAAACAACAGTCCCAGAGGTCATGTCAACAGTGAGAGCAAGTGCACGCAAGAGCTGCTCAAGCAAAGGGGACAGGTCTCAATACAAGTTGAAAGGGAAGTGGCAGGACAGAGCCAAACCCTGCGTAGCATGACAGAGACACCATGTGTTCAGAGCTGGGAAGGCACGCAGCCACTGGCTGCCAGCAGCTCAGTAGGGATTTACGTTTTCTGCACCAGACTCCACAAGGAAGAAAGCCAGTGCTGACAATCCGAGCAGGCTACAGATGGCTCTCTGAGCAATTTAATTACATCTCCAGGGAGCACAGTCAGAAGACCAACTTTTCACACTGGTGCCAGCAATGGAGATGCAGCCAGCTAACTCACTGGCATTCTCAGTGCCCTTTGCACCAGCCCAGAAACAAGGACAAGTGCAGACCAGAGAGAAAAACTCAGGCCTGCAACATCTCAATGGCTCACAGAACTCCAGGGAGCACAGCAGCAGGTAGCAAGGTATTTATGCGCTTCTAGACCCCAGATTTTGAGACAGGATGCGAACCACTGCTGTAGGAGATAGACAGTGCAAAAACACCCAAGAGGCTGCATCTTTTGGGTTCTGAGCAGGCACAAAGCCCTTCCTGCTTGACCGCAGCAGCCCTCACTGCTTCAGGCTTGTACCTGCGGGGTGCCACATCCAGTGCAGGCACTGAAAGGAGCTTGGCCCATGGGTTCAACACACTTTTTGGCCTGGGGAACTTTGGTGTGGTTCCTCTGGCCTGGTTGGATCTTGGCTGCCTGCGCCACTGAGGGAGAAGAGGACATGGATGAACAATGGCTGAGAAATAAATACCCCTTTCTGCAGCCTCTTCATGAGGAAGTCAGAGCCTCCGGGCTTCTGGCCTAGGTTGGGGTATTTTGCCTTCAGTTTTGCCTCTTCTGCCCTCTCAGGGGTGACAGTTTCCTTCTCCTGTGTGTCCTGAAAAAAAAAGAGGACAGTGGAAAGCCCTTCAGCCCCACAGAAAAACACACACCTGCAATGCCATAACACAATATTCAGCAGTGTGTCCAAACCCCAGCACCTGGCTTGCTGAGCAAGGTGTGGTCCCCTGGAAAATCCAGATGCACCCAGAGAATATTATAAACACCTTACACCTTCCTGGCCAGAAAGAGCTTTTACCTCCAGTGCCTGTGGAAACAGGCAGAGATCCTCCCTCTGATTCTTTCCCAGATGGGAGCCTCTGCAGGGGAGCTTGCACTGACATTTGGCTTTGCAAACTGGGCTTAAAATGTCACTGCAAATAGCTGTTGGACAAGGGCCTTCCCCTGACCAGCATCAACAAACATCAGTCCAGAGCTGCCCAGCATGATGGGCTGCAGCAGCGCACTGCGGTGCTGGGAGGGTTCAGCCTTACCACCAAGGGAAGGAACTCTTCTGCTCCAAAACCAATTTATCAGGAATGAACCAGCACATGCAGCATTTTAGCACCTGATTCACAGCAACAGGAGTTTTGGGATGTTCCAAGAAGCCACCCAGTCAGCTCAAAAGCTTGGGACCCCCGGGGCTGATTGTGGCAGGAGGTGCCAAGTCCTGGTTGTCATCTGGCTGCTCTGCGGGAGCTCTGAGACCCATTCTCCCCCAGATCAGCTATTGAAGAAGCATCAGCTGAGCAATGACACGTGAGGGGGGTTCCCAGTGTGGGGCTTGGGATCTGCTCCCCCAACCAGCAGCCTCTCCTCAGGAAGGGCTGCAGGTCTGGGGACAGGAGCTTCGGTCTGGGGTGGGAAGGAGTCAGGGTCCCAGCAGGGCGTGGAGAGCCTCACACGCAGCAAGGCTGAGTTCTGGCTGGCCACTAGCCTAGCTGCAATGGGAACATGTCACCACTGGCCACCTCCACCACTGGCCACTTGGGGCCAAGCCACTGCACAAGTTGCTGTTTCACAGGATGTTGGCAAGGGGTGGTTTTCATCACCAGTCCCTTTCTAGCAGGGATGATCCTGGCAGACCTGGCAGTGGCAGCTCGGCTCCTGCCAGCCCAGTGGCGCTGATGGATGCTGTGTACATCTCCTCCCAAGTGCTGAGGCCCTGAACCACTCCCAGCTCACCAGAGATGGCACACTCCATGCAATAAGCATGGCAGAACGCTGCCACCACAAGCCTCCGCCTCATCTGTGAAGCAGGAAAGCCCTCAGCATTTGGACAGGACCAACAAACTGGCAGGATGCAGCTGGCAATCACAGGGTGCAGGCAGGTGGGATGGTAGTCTCAGGCTCCCCAGGGATGAGGCACTGAAGCTCGGTCTGGCTGCATTAAGGAGATATATTCCTGTGAATTCCAGTGCTGCGACTTCCCTTTCCAGGTGGCCAAGAGTAAAGCTGAAGCCAGCGAGCCCCCAGGTTGGAAAGCACTGTCGGCATTGCAGCAGTTTTCCAATGTGATCTTCCACTGGCACCGAGCTGGGGGAGCAGCTCTTCACAGCGTGGCTGTGGCCCTGGGGGCCAGCTCCCTGCAGAGGCTGGTGTGTACAGGCTGCCATGAAAGAGCTCCGCAGCTGTGTCTCGAAAATACAAAGCAAACCTGAGTTAATGGCAGCTCCTGACAGCCAAAACTGGGACAGCTGAAGCTGGGAGCAGCAGCGTGATGCGCAGGCTTGGTGCATCCCACTCAGAGCCCCAACTGTGCAGGCTCCTCCTTACGCCCCCGTCTGCGGGGGTCTCCAGGGTACTGGAGCGGGGAGCGAAGGCAGGGGAAGGTGCCAAGAGCCTCATCACGATCTTCAGCTTCTACATGTTGCAGGGCTTCGCCCACACACGGCCTGAAGGAGCCCAGCTCTTCTTATCCATCTCCATGACAGCTCCAGGAATAAGAGCCACAGCCAGTGCGTGCCACTCAGCCCTGCCACAGAGTCAGGCACCCCACGAGCTCCAGCGTCAGACGGGTTGAGACGGGTTTTGGCAGCAGGAGTCAAAGCCTTGCCCCCCACAGCCCTTCACCATCTCAGCCTGCTCCCCTCAGTTCTTCATCTCCAACATTCTCTCCTCCTCGCACGGCTGCAAACACCGCTGCCTCCCGTCGCCCCATCTCTCTCGCTCCGTCTTGGGTGCACCGCTGCACCCCACTGCTTGCCCACACCGTGGGCACCACTTCTGCGGCGCCCAGCAGAGCCAACGCGTCCTTCACACCCACCAGCAGACCCTGGGGCCGCCCACAGCCTCGCACCACGTCCCCGCGCCGTGGGAAAGCGCCCACCGCCTTCACTCGGGGCCCAAAACGCAGCACAGCTGCCTCCTTCCTCTGCCCACCCCCACAGCCAAACGCCAGGGGAACAGAAGAAGCTTCTCCCACTGAAGGCGGCGGGCGGGAGGGAAAGGCAGCAGCTCTGCCTGCACCCCGCGGGGGGGCCCAGGATCGCGCGTGGGGACGCGGTAGCAGCCGCCCAGCCCCGCTGCTTGACGCCAGCCTGGCTGCCCTGCTGCCCCAGCGCTCCCATCCCAGTAACCCCTATCCCAGTACCCCCCAGCACCCCCCCCGCACCCCCAGTATCCCACAAGCCCCCACGCACCCCCCCACGCCGCCATCGAGACCCAGCTACCCTACCAGCCCTGACGGAAGTCCAGCCTCCACCCGCCCCACAGCCAGTGAGAGACCAGCACTCGTCAGACAGATAACAGAAGCAGCCAATGCGCGCACAGGGCTGTGAAGAGCGACGTGCGGCCGAGGCAATGGCAGCCGGCTGGGTCCGCGCCGAGGTTCCCCACCTGTTTCTCCTGCCCGGTCTCCTCCGCACGGGCGCCGGTACCGAGCGGGGCTGCCATGGCGGGGCGGGGTGGGGGGAGGCTTCTGCGCTCCCTCCGCTCCGCCCGGCCCCGCGCTCTCCTTCCAAGATGGCCGCCGCTGCCCCCTAGCGTCTCGGGTGCCTGACGGACAGGCGCGCTGTCCAATGGGCTTAGGGAGGCGGCCGCGGTGACATCATACCTGACCAACCAGCGCCCACGGAGGAGGGGGGGGCGGGAAAAGGGACGGAGCAGCACCACCCCTGCTGGAGCGGCCACTGGCCAATGGGAAGTGAGGCAGCACCACGTGGCGGGCCGGGGGGCGGGGCACCCACCCGGCCTTCCTCCTCCTCCGGGCTCGGCCTGGGGGGGCAGCTGGTGCAGCCCAAGGTGCCCCCCGGGGCGCCGGGACGCGGCAGGAAAACGGCCCCATCGCTGGGTGCCCGCGGGGAGCAGCAGCAGCAGCAGCTGCGGCTACCCAGCAAAGTCCCGAGACAAGTGTCACCAGCACCTCTGGGGACACTGAGGATTTCCCCCCACATGCCAGAGCCCTGCCGGCATCCCCCCAGCACCCCTTCAAACGCGACCCCTGCGCTTAGCCAGGGCAGCCGGACCCACCGCACCCCCGGACAACAGACTGAAATACCCAGAACTGTCTTAGGCTGCAGAGAAATACATTTAAATGAACTACATGAGATTAAAGTGGTGGTGAAAAAAAAATATTCTCAAAATCACAGTTTAACTTTTCCCCTTACTAGAAAGCGCAGGTGTGCGATGGACACAGCCTGGGACAGGGCTCTACGGTTTTTACAGAGCTGCTCCTCAATGCCGACACATGTCGAGGGCTTCAGGCTGCCCAGTGCCAGCAGGCACGTGGGGTGCTCCCAGCTGCTGGACACCCCCAAACCGGCCTCCTGCCCGTACCCCACCCCAGCAGGAAATCAGTGTGTTCCTTAGGGGAATCGGCACTGCCCAGGCAGCTCAAAGGCAAGACCTCTGTGTAGAAGAGGGAGCCACAGAGACAGCGGGACAAGCTGTTGTGCACTGGGAGTGCCCAGGGAGCGCAGACTGCGCTGCAGCCCCGTTTCTGCCAGGGTTTGGCCCATCTGAGCAGCTTGGTTCCCACACCCAGAGGCAGGGCTGGGCTCTGCCACCTCCCAGAGCTGCACTGGATGGGAAGGAAGCCCATGGGCGAGGAGCACTGGAGCAAAGAGCCACCTCTCCCAGGAGACACCAGCCTTAGGAGGAGTGTGCGACCTACCCATGCAGGTGGGCTCTCACCCTCCCACCCCTGCCCGGGGGGGAAGAGCAAAACCCCCCAGTCCCCCGGAGCTGAGCCCACCTGCTGCTGCAGGAACTGTGCCCAAATACCCCTGGCCTCACGCTGAGGGGGGAAGGCTGCCCCACCTGGTTTGGGGGGTTCGGGTGCTTTTTAAGACTTATTGAAAGCTGCCAGGACAGCCCAGATCATTTCTGCACCCCTGGCTTTGGCAGCTTCCACCTCAGGGTCCATATCGAGGAGGTCCTTGGTCCTGTTCATTGCCACATCGTACTTGTCGTCTGCTAGGCTGGCAAAAACGTTCTCCAGCACATCTGAGGAGTGGGCCAGCACCAGGAGAGCCAGAGTCCTGCGGTCCATGCGGTGGGGGTCGTTCATCCACCGCTCCAGCATGCTCTCCTGGAGCTTCTTTACCAAGCGCTGCTTCTCGGTGGCGTTGCTGACGGGGTGGGTGGTCATGTCGAAGAGCAGGAAGTTCTGCTTCTCTGTGGTGAGGATGCCTTTCTCCACCAGTGCCTTGGCGATGCGCTCACGCACGTTCCTCAGCTGGTACTGCAGCTTGAAGGGGTTCCAGGTTTCCCCTGAAGGAGAGGAGACCCTGTTCAACACTTGGGCAGTGATGGCTTTGTCATCCAACCCCAGTGCCCAGGCTTCTTCCAGCCCAGGGCTATCTATGCTTGCACAGACACCAGTCCTCGCCACAGGAACCCTCTTCCTCCCCTTCGGCCTGACTCTGACCTGCTTTTCCCATCAATCCAAGCTGGCAAAGCTCCCAGCAGTCACAGGGCACAGTAGTCTGTGGCAGATCCCTTTGGAAAGCCCCTTCTACCCAGCACCTTTGGACCCCAGAATCTGTGAAGACTCAGCATGAAAAAAGGGACAATGGGGAGCAAGGTCCAAGTCTTCTACCTAGCTCCCAACAAAAAAGACCCAGAAAAGCATTCTCTGCCCCTACATTCAGCCTTCCCCTGTTCTGCTGTCAGTATTTTGCCCATCTCCAGTGAAGGAAAGGGGATGGCCAAGCTGTGGAGAGGGGACAGGTGGCAGGAACAGGCCCAGAGGGAGCTGGGGAGATGGCATCTCTAACAGGCCCTACCAGTGAGCAGCTCTATCCAGGTCTGCACCGTTTCTGCAGACTCTGTGGCCTTGATGTGTCGGAGGGTCTCATCCAGCAAGACGTCACCAGTTGGCGTGTCCGACTTCAAGAGCACCTGGAAGAACAAAGTGGAAACACAGCATAAGGCTGGACACAGACCACACTCCTGAAGGAATGGTGCCAGCCCTGGCGTGCAGTGCTGCTGTGGCAAAGCTCACTGCCAGAAGGCTTGGCTGGGGTAGATGGAGCCCCAAAGGCTGTTGGGCCCCCAGCCCAGCTCCCGTGGCACCTTCACCTTCCTCTCCAGCAGCCTCTTCTTCCGGATGGAGAGTGGCTCCAGGCGGATCCGGCCCCGCAGAGCCAGCTCGATGAGGATGCCGCCCCGCAGGCCTGAAGAGATGCAGTCATTCCAGAAGGATGTGTAGCCCTGGCAGAGAGAGGATGGATGGAAAGGGGAGAAGAGAGATGGAAAGAGGAGCTCTGCTGAGTCCCCCACCCCTCCCGGCCTGCTTGGGCCCTGCCCAGGAAACTCTCCCAACTCCCACTGACACCTCTGCCTGCCAGTCCAAAGGGAGAAAAGGGCTTTCTTTCCCCGTAAGCTGAAAAGTGCCCAGCAGCCCCAACTAACGCCCTCCCTGTAAACATCAAGCAATTCAGACTGTGCTCTTCCTGCTGTACCCACAACCACCCGGCACACCCCAGCACCAGCCAGGCAGCTGTGCCCAAGCCCAGATCATAAAAAAATCTGAGCAAGAATGAGAAAAGCAAGCCCCTGGCCACAGAAGGACATTGCTGCTGCTGCTGTGGGTCTGCAACCAGCAATGGGAGCTCTGCTCTGCCTCTGCTACGGACATGCCTGGGGGAACCAGGAGGCAAAATCTGCTCTTCTCCTTGAAGAAAGCCCTCACCAGCTCCAGGCATGCCCTGAGAGTAATTAGCTGTATGAATAAATTGCTTATCAGACCCATGAAGAAGAGCTTCCCCTTTACCCACAGCACTGTTCCACAGGGCACAGACTGCAGCAAGCCCAAGTTCCCACCACAGGAGCTTCCCCAGCCCCTCACCCACCTCACCATCATCACACCCCCCCTCACTCAAATCCATCCACAGACTTCTGCAAGGGAAGAGAAGATTTCCAGTCAGGGATGAAGGACAGGAAAATACATCCCACCTCTCCCACCCAGAGTGGGCACCTTGGGGCTGGGGTGCAGCAGTTGGGGTCCCTGCAGGGCAGCGCTGGGGCTGCTGCTGCCCGGATCTGCTTGGACTTGACACATTCCACACCTGGCCCCAAGCCCTGTTCTTTGAGCCTGCCACGGGATGGGGTCCTCATCCCGAGAAGTGCAAACTCCAAAATCGTTAAGGCATTTGGCAAAGCAACGAGAAGACGCAGAGGTCCAGAAAATACAACCCACAAAGAACCAGCAATCGAATCAGGGTTTTCAGTCTCGGGAAGAGAAGACGGAGAGAGAACAGGATATGGGGGGTCAGACACATAAAAGGCAGCAACAAAAAGGAAGGGAATGGCCAGTTCCCACTTACACTATGCATGGGACAGAGTCCTGGGCTAAAATTGTAGCCAGAGAGATTGGCGCTGGCACCAGAAAGAAATAACTGGCTGGACAAGAAAGCCCCGGAATGGTTGGTCCCTGAAGGAAGGGTGCAAGGGATGGAAGTCTCTGTCCCTTGAGGTTCGAGAACATTCAACTGACACTTCTCAGGAGAGAGCTGGCCTTGGTTTGAAGCAACGGGATAGCCTAAGTGACCTTTCTGTTCCCTTCTTCCAATCATCTTTTATACCCTGATTAGAACAAAGCCTGGTTGTTCCAGCCCGATGACTGCCACATTGTGGCACAGATGCAGGGCAGCAGCCCTTGGATTTCAGGGCAGGGATTTTCAGCAGGCAGGGCCGCAGGGAGAGGCTCATCCAGGCTGGCAGTAAGGCTGGGAATGGGTCAGGTACCAGTGTTTGAGATGGGCCCAAAGGAAGGGTGAGTCAAGCAGGATGCAAAGTCACAACGTGCTTATTTGCAGGGGGACACCAACACACCAGAAATGCTACAGCCCATTCGTAACTCCCTTTTCGTCGCCTTTTTTCCTCTGGAGGGAGTGGAGGGGAGGAGATAAAGGGCAGGTCTAAAAGCTACCAGGAGAGTGCAGACAAAGCAACCTAACAAGCCCCCTTCCTAAGGAAGAAAGGCTGTGAACAAGCAGCCCTCCTACATGGAAGTTTTTACAGTCTGTATAGGTAAACTCTTTTCCCCAGTGCGTCTGTTTATAGAGTGCATCTGGGCACCGCTCAGCTTGCGTAGCACAGAGAACCATAAAAGAAATTAAAATCTTTATTTGCTTTCTTCATTTCCTCTTGAAGAAAGACAAAGCAACCTTTCATCCCTGCCCTGCTGATTTACGTCTATGGCAGACAGACTGGTTTTTGCACATGCCCTTTAAGAACAAGTTCCCAAGGAAAGGGTGTGGAGGTGACCAAAAGTTTCAGTTCACCTGGCTGGAAGGCATGCTATCCCTAGAAAATTTTATGAGGTCTGAAATCCAACAAGTTTAAAGTTCCTGGGCTACTACTTTCAGCTTCTGGAATCAGACTGGTTACAAATGCCAGGCTAGTGTCCAGCCAATTTCTCCTAGGTGGGCAGAGTGGTACTTAAAATAACAAAATTACACTGTGAGTTCATTGGATTTTGCTAAAATTGTCTTGTTTTTTTACAATCATCAAACCATTAGTGAACAACAGAGCTGGGAAAACCCAATGCCTGGGAACCCAGCTCACAGCCAGGCTGCTGCCGCCTCTGGTCCTCCTTCTGAGATGGAGGAACGTGGAAGGACAGGATGCGGGGGGAAAAAAAAGAACCAGTGTGACAAGTTGTTTTTTTTTTTTTTTTTTTTTTCTGCATCTATTGTGCTCTCCTAACTTCCGGGTGCCTGAAGGAGCGTTCCCAGAAATACATTGACCAAGCCAAGAATGCTAAACATAGCCCAGGAAGAAAGCAGACCTTGCCACGCTCCTAGGCTGCTCTCAAGTATTTGCTCCAAAATTATTTGCATGGTGTTCTTTTCATAGCCCTGCTCTCCTGTTACTTCCTATTCAGCTCAGCAAGTCCTAGATCTTATCTGAGTTTATTAAACAGGACAGCTACCAGCCTCTGTCACTCACACAACACGGATCTGTGAGCATGGTCCATGTCAGAAACCATGGCCTGAACAAGTTCATGTGACAGCAAGGCATCAGCTCAGACTAACTCAGCAGCAGCAGCAGGGCCCCACAGGAAAAAATGTTCAGGCATTTCACAGGGGCTTGATTTCAACCCAGAGAAACAGAAGAAGAAAAGATGGCAAATCTACCACAGCTTTGATGACCACAGTGTCTCCTTTCCTCAGGGTGAAAGACAGGCTCACAGGAAGAGTGCTCCTGGAGCTGAAAAACCTGTGTTTAAGTCTCCCCTCTAACATTATCAACCCAAGAAGCACCTTGGGCAACTGCTTAGCTTCTCCTGGTCTCAATTTCGCAATCTGTTTGACAGGAAGAGCAGCATCAGATTCCTCCAAAGAGATCAAGGTGATGTGTGCACTAAAAAAAAGGCATGCAGACACAGCAGATAAAAGACAAGCAGCTTGGAGAACTCAATGCAAGAAGTCTTCTCCTTTCCCCATGGCTTGTTCTAGGCAGAGTTGAGAAACGAGTTCCCACCAGCTGATAAGCACAAAACAATTCAGTTTGACCAGGGTCTCTCCAGCAGAGAACAACCCTGTGAAAATAATCAGCTGTGAAGTTCGTCTACTGCTGCCAAGGAAATCCATTAAACTGGCACACGTGGGTGCGACGAGCACCCGGCAGAGATTCCCATCCAGCCCCACTCCCCTCAAGCCTAGAGCTGCACATTGTTCCTGCCCAGCTAAGGAAATCAGTGACCTGAAAAAGAGAGACGTGGCTCTCACCTCCATTACCGCTGCTGTGTTTGGACCCACCCTGTCCCTGCTTTCAACTCCCAGACCTGCTGCCTTCTCTCGCCTTGCCCTCTTCCCTCAAAACCTGCCCTTGCCATCCTTCACATCAACTTTTAACAAAGTGGAAACAGTGCTCAGAGTGTCCCTGTGTTGCAGTTGATGGTTTCGTATAGGAATGGGCACTTGGGCTAGGGAAGAGGACACTTACCACCTGATGCACACAGTGAGGCTCCTTTTACCCCATGTCTTTGACCCTGGCAAAGGACAAACCCACCTTTGCTCTGCAAATGGCAGTCACACAATACTATAAGGATCCCCTTGCCTCCAGCTGCTTCTTACAGTCCCTGGGACAGCGCTGATGGGACAGCACTTGCAAGCCACTTCCACAACTCAGTTTAAGCTACTGAGGAAAGGTGGTTTGTGCTAAGCAGGGTGGCTTTGTTGAACAGGATTCAGAGGAACTTGTACAATTCCTTCTAATGCTCACTGAGAGCCTCACCTCCAGGTACACCAAGGCAGTGCTGCTACCGCTGCACACGCGGCCGCTGGAGACGCCTGCCTTACCTCCTTGTCCTTCAGCCCCAGCAGTAGCACCTCCTCCATGAGCGTGAGGCGGATATCTTTGGAGTCATCAGCATCATCATCATTCAGATCTCTGTCCACAGCCGCATCTTCCTCACTGTCAGGTTTCTTGTCCGAGTTCCTTCCCACCTCAGCACGCCGTCCGCGGTGTGTTAGCGTCGTCATCTCCCCCTCTGGCTGGGCACACAGAGAACCCAGGTCTGCCTCGTTTCTAAACACGATGGACTACGACAGTTCCAAGTCCCAGAACCCAGGCTCCAGGGAAGAACAGACAAGGCCACTCGCTCCTTATACCCAGGAATTTTTGGCTCACCCTTCCCAGGATGGCTGTACAAGAGTCACTGGCAAGGAGTGGCTGGCCATCACCTCACGACGTGCCTGAGGAGATGATGCCACGTCCAGGTGGAGAAGGGGAGACGAGAGCCACGGCCGTTCCACCCAGGGGCCCTCCCGGCCGTACGCTCACAACCAGAGACACGGTCCCGCACCCAGACAGGCCGCGGGATACCCGGCAGCGCCCCAGGGCGATGCAGAACGAGCATCTTCCCCGGCACGGCCCCCGCTGGCTCCCCCCGGGGGGCGACCAGCCCGCGGAGAGGTCCTCGCCTCCCCCCCGGGCCTTAAGGAGCTGCACGTTGGCGCTCCCGGGCCGCCAACCCCCAACCACCACGAGCACCCTACACCCCACACAGCAATAACGAGATGCCACAACTTTTCCCCCGCGGAACGGGGCAAAAACACCACAAGGGTCGGGGGGGAGGGGGGAAGCGCGGCCCTGCCCCTGCCCCTCCCCCTCCCCGCACGGCGTTCCGGGGCTGAAAAACATAACCCGGGTTCCCGTTTCCCCTCCAACCTTACCCCTGCCCGGCGGGTCCTTCCCAAACCTCCCCCGCTCCTTCCCCTGCGATCAAACTTCGGGGCCGGGGGAAGAAGGAAAAGCTTCCTGGGGGAGGGTGGGAGCGGCCCGGCGGCTTCCTGGGCTCCGGTAACCCGGCCCGGTGCGGCGCCGGCAAATGGGAGCCCGCCCGGTCGGGAGCCTCCAATGAGCGCGGCCGGGGCGGGATTTCCTCTCCTCCTCCTCCTCCTCCTCCTCCTCCCGAGGAGGAAGGCTGCGCGCGTGGCACCCACCCTCCTTTCCAGGCGGGGCCGGGACGGGGCAGTTCCCGGCTGTAAGAACCCCAGAACAGTTCGGGGTGGGAGGGACCGCAGAGACCACCCAGTGCCCCCCCCCCCCCCCGGGCAGGGCCCCCTTCCCCCAGCCCAGGGGGCTCCCAGCCCCGTCCAACCTGGCCTTGAACCCTTCCAGGGAGGGGGCACCCACAGCTGCTCTGGGCACCCTGGGCCAGCGCCTCACCCCCCGCACAGGGAAGGATTTCTTCCCAATATCTAATCTAAATAGTTTCCCTATTTTAGTGTAAAACCATCACCCCTCGTCCTACCCCCACCCCCTGATCCAGAGTCCCCCCCCACCTCCCCTGTCCCCCCTTTAAGCCCTGGGAGGCCGCTCGAAGGGCTCCCCGGATCCTTCTCTTCTCCAGGCTGAACCCCCCAACTCTCTCATGGAAACTAAGAGCAGCCAACCTCACCGGGCCAGCCCAAGGCAACGTCAGCGCTTCCCAGTTCAATCACAGGACTCCAGTTCTGTTCAGCGAACCGAAGAGAACCAGGTGTAGGGCTGCGAGTGCCTGCCACGCACAGCTGCTTCCACCAACAAACTCAAGTTTCAACTTCCCCCCCTCCCAGATTTGCCCTCGCCTTGCTCAGACACACTGCTGCACCCCCCCGGCCCTGATCACCCCAAACAGCCCAGAGCTGGGACAGTCCGCAGAGTGAGAGCTCCAAATAGTGCCCACATTTCACAGAAGCCCCCCCAAACATACTCCAGTCCACACAGTAAATACACAGCAACAATGTGTTAACATTTTAAATTGAGGAATGATAAAAAGACACAATTTAAAAGTAAGATATGTCAAGAAATGGTCAGCTATCCCCACCTAAAGACAGCAGCAGCTCTTTGCCATGCAGAAACAAATTAATTTATAGCACAGGAAAAATTAATATTCTTTTTGTTAGAAAAATAAGTGGTGCAACGTTCAACTTCTGCAGTTAATAATTTTAAGTGTATAAAGGTTTATTCAAATAATATCACACTATTATAGTAGATGCTCACCACAGATTAATACTTTAATTACATACATGTATCTCATCACAGCTGTATAGAAATTCCTGTGTTTTGGCATGAAGTATGTAATTAAAGGTATGAAGAATGCTTGTGTTTTACTTGAGTCTGGGGCCTTCTGTCTGCAAGAAATGCAAAAAATCAAGCTGCCCTAACTGTCCCAGTAGTAAAAGCAAAAAATATAATATTGCTGTAACTGACAACACAGCCCTCCTGGACCTGCTCCCTAAAGCTCTGGGAATTAACTGAAGACTCACGGGGTTTTATGCACTGTAAGGCAGGTTCTGGACATGAAGTTCTTCAGCTTTGAAATACAGCCCAAAGTTACCAGTAAAACCTTGTGTTGTGGGTAATGAACATTATACAACCACCATCAGGATTTAAACATATTCTAAACAGGGAGTCAAATCCCCCAAATCACCTTTGTTACAGAAATTTTCTCAATTACATCAGTAGTCAGGTACCTTCTGCCCTTCCTGGTACGGTATGATCTCCTATAAAATGTAAGTTCTGATTTCTTCAGATGAATTCCTGACACATTTTCTTTCCTTCCACTCTACATTTTGACTACAAATAGAACAGAAAAAATCCCTAAGACATTTGAATATGAAAACTATTTAAATATGAACATTCGCATTAAACAACAAAAAGGAAGTGGTGTGGGAAACTCTGTAAACAAACAGCAGGGAGGTGGGCATCTAAAACTGCTCCTTTGGTTCACTGATCTTTCTCCTTTTTGGCAGCACATCTTGACTAGATGAGAGCTCAAACTGATGAACCTGCCAAGGGAAAATAAATATTGCATTACAGGTTGCCGCACAGCACAGGCTGAGGCCTGGTCCATGGCATTAGGAGGTCTGACATGGGAGAAGCCCACCCTGAAGGAGACTGCAGGGTGATGCATCAAGAGCTGGGTGTTGAACATCTGGCTCAACCTTGCTATTATCTTGTCCCTGCCCAGAGGTGCTAAGCCTGGAATAAATCTGGATACCATTTTCTGGCAGAATTGAACCTCTCTCCAAGTTACTGGAGGAGTGCTGGAATGCATTTATGCCGTAACAGCAGGACCTCCTGTGTGCCAGCTTAAAGAGAACATAATGGAGACTGTTCCCCCTCCACAGAGGCAACACACCTGAAGTCCAATTGCACGAGCAGCTGGGAGGCAACACAGTGGCCCCAAGTGCCAAGCCAGGCAGCACCTGGAGGGCTCTGCACAGCAGAAGGGTGCCCTACACCAACAGGAGCAGGGGCTCAGCACCACCCAGCCTTGCCTCACCAGGTTTGATCCAACTATTTCTGACACGCACATGTGTGAAAAGGTAATTTAGCCTTTATCTCTGCTGTGCTTTTGAGTATTTAAAGCAGCTGTGCTTTGTTTAAATTCTAGTATTAAGTTCATTAACAAAAACCTTTTTCTTTTTAAAAGACAGATAACATGATAGTGAGCACACAGAATGATGGTGTTTTGTTCTCTTCTCTCCCACCTTCCCCCAGCAGTGAATAACAAAAAATACTGCATATGACCCTGGAGTTGTAAGTTGGAATAGAGCCTTTTTTTTTTCCTTCTTAGTAGCTAGAATAGTGCTGTGTTTTGGATTCAGTATGAGATTTGATATGAGAAGAATGTTGATAATGCACTGATGTTTTCAGTTGTTGCTAAGAAATCAAGAGCTTTTCAACTTCCCATGTTCTGCTAGTGCACAGATACACAAGAACCTGGGAGGGAACGCAGACAAAACAAGGGACCCAAACAGGCCAAGGGAATATTCCATATCGTACCACATCCTGCTCAGTGGATCAAGGAAGGGGACTGGGAAGCCCTCACTCTCGCTTTCAGGATTGTGGTTTCAGGATTCTCTCATCTCTTGAGATTATTGGCCAGGGCCTGGCTGGGCATCAAGTCAGCAGGTGGTAAGCAATCACACTGTGCATCATTCACTTGTATTTTCTATTACTACTATTATTATAAATATTAATTTCTATTAAATTGTTTTTATCTCAACCTACAAGTCTCCTGATCCTTACCCCTCCAACCTTTTCCCCCATTTCCCAGGGGTGGGGGAAGGTAAGCAAGCAGCTGCATGGCATTTGGCTGCTCACTGGGTTCAAACCACAACATATATAAAAAAAAATTCTGTTCTGTGGTAAACAGTACTTTACAAAAAGACTGAATCTACTATTTCTGTACTCTGAATTTAACATCTCCACTTCATTAATTTATTGAAAACTGATAGCCCTTTTCACATGTAGTTTTCAATACACAGATATTTAAGGACATACAAAAATTTATCTTCTGGATTTCTTCAGAACATTCTGCTGAAGAATCAATTTTGCATGCTCCCAAGCTTGATTTCCACCAGCCTCTACAGAAATAAGGCAACTATTAGTTTAGAAGAAAAACTACTGGGAACAATGGGGCTGTACATTATGAATCCTTACACCACTAATGCACTAAAAATTGATGAAGATCTTTCATGAATGGGGAACAGGATGGGTACGATTTTCCTTGGCCTTGACACGTAATTTCCCCTCCTGACTGTAAAAGAAGAGCAGTTATTTACTAGAATGGCAATATTCACCCCACAGCTTTTTGAGAAGAATCTACCAGTAACCCAGAACCCTGAGATGTGGAGGGCTTGTGAAAGCCCCCCAGAACCTCACAAAGCTGAAGCTACCAAGCTCAGTTGGTAAAGGCAGTGGTAAGAGAGATGGGGGCCCACCAGTGCCCTCCTCCAAAGGCCAAATTCCACTCTGAAGACAACTTCTGCTTCACCTGTGCAAGGCTGGAAGAATCTGGCTCCCTGCAAGTAACACCAACTACAAGACTTATCTGCTGCAGTGTGATTAGGCAAAGAAATAACAGATTTTTCTTGGTATGAGTCATAGAGCTGAGGTTACAATTTTGGCCTCATGTTTTCCAAGTAAAAGCACTAGCAAACATATGGTACACTGGGCTGGAGATCTCTGCTGGCACACACTCCTATCAACAACAGATTAAATCAGTGGGGAATTGGCTAAATGCATTCTCAGGAAAATACAAGTCAGATCTAATGAATCCTTCTCAACCTGCATTAACTACATCAACACTCAGCTTTTAACTCTTTGAAACAGAATTTTTTTTTTTACACCAAGAATCCAAATGTGCTTTGTTTAATGGGAATTTCAGACGTGATGAGAAATACATTCTGTCAATGTAAAATGTATTAAAGTTTAGAGGTTTTATTCTCTACTTGGAACATAAAAAAGGCTTAAAGAACAGAACCAGAGAAAAAACAGTACTAACCGTGCTGGCTTGAAATATCTTTCCACTTCTTGTCCTGCTCCCTGACACGTTAAGTTCAGATGTCTTACTTGCCAAATGATCAACCTAAAATCAGAAAATACATGTTGCCTTGTGACAGCAGTAAAAAAATATATTAGAGGCTACAGCAGGTTTCAGTGCTGTAGTATGCAAAGAGCTCTTTCTCTACTCACCACAGTGCTTGGGTTGAAATTTAAATACAGGAGTATACTCACTGAAGTCTACAGCACTATTTACAGCTGAACATGTCAAAAAGCCCTAACAGATCAAAGCATCAGCTATTTTTATATCGTAAAGTCACACCCAGGGCTGTGCTGTTTTAAGAAATCTTAAGGACCTGTCATTGAAGTAGTCCTCCACATTTCAATTACATCATTTTGCTACAGGCAGGGAATATAGCATGAGTTTTAAGTCTGAATAATAAACCTGCATTTTAAGTTTTAATCAACAGTTCAACAAATTTTGGTCCGTCAGAAATTTTTATCAGGTAGTTATGGCAGTTTATAAATACAGAAATTATGTTTCCATTTCTTTATTAAGAGTCAGACCATCTGTTAGAAAACTATCACAGAGGAACAGCCTTTTGTCATCACTTTTGATTGTTTTGGAATAGTAACTGGTTTTGTAAATCACCAGAAAGTAAAATGTAAAGACATTTTATTGCTGAAAATACTGTGGTAAATAAACCTTTAGTAGAGTACCTATTAATCACTCAAAGTAGGAAGAAACTTCACAAAACTCTACAAGACTACAGACTGCAGTTTTCATACCTGGGGATTAGAAACACACAGCTTCTGGTTCCCTTCAGCCTTCATAACTTCTTCTTCACAAGTTAAATTTGGTTCTATAAAGAGTTAAATAAAGCACACTTAACACACTAGCAGCCTCTTAACACTGATGTTTTGCCACAAGGAACATGTGCACTTTATAAACGCAGGGAACAGATGCTTCAAAAGGGCTCTAATTCTCTAAGCACAGGCAAGACCTTGACTCCACCAAGCATTAATCTTACATCTTTAATTCAGCGATTTCCTATCACAATTTCCCATCACAAGCATGCAAGAGATCCTTGTGCTAAGCAGTACAAATTTACACATGGGATCTTTGTAAGAGCGGTCTTGATCTCCACACTCATTTATACACTGTACTGCTAAAGGCTCATCTACACTGGGATTTTCTTCCAAGCAAAAACCCTCACAAGCCTGTTTTGCCTTGAAGGATGGGTAAATGGCCCTGGGGGGCCACACTGGCACAGCTGCTGCATGTTCTGAGCCTACTGCCAGCAGAGAGCTCCCATTCTGTAACCCAACCACACACAACCAAGCAACTTTGGCTGCAGTTTCTGGAACTATAGTTCCCCTAGTCACTGCCTGCAGCTTCATGACCAGGCCATGAAGAAGCAGCAGCCAGTTCCGCAGGGTTTTTGTGCTGTTGTTTCTAATACACACTGGGTGGTTTGGTTTTTTTTTTTTTTTTTTTTTTTTTCTTCTCTATGATACAGATAGAAGCATGAACTGTTTATAGATAACTGTTTCAGCTGTGGACATGACTGAAGAATTTCAGGGTGACATGCATTTTCCCATGTCTTACAGTTCTTCTAAATAAAACATTATACCACCTCCATAAGACAAGCAATTCACTGCATTTTTGAATGGTTTGGAAACTTCTACAGATTTCTAAATGCACCAGGTAGTGCTTTATGTGGTTATTCAAGTTCTGCAGCCTACTAGCACCGCCAAGATAAAAACGCTGATCCACACGTGCTGTTTCCTACACATTTCCATGATTATTTTTGAACAGCATAGAAATGTTAGCTGGTTTTGCAAAGTTACACATTTTATTTCTGAAAAAAAAACCACCAACATTAATGCCACTATTTAAATACATAGCACAGCCTGTTCAACATTGGGCTTGAATGACATGACATGGCACTCCAACCCATTTTAAATAAATAAAATTCAGGCTCAACTTGCTTTGTTCAACTACCTCTGCAAGCACTCAGACACCATGGTAGCCCCAACAAGATGCTAATCTTGGTTGGATTAGGCAGACCAAAAACCTCAGCACTGACACAGCTGCCACTTTTATAGTTAAGTGGAAAGCAATACGTCTAGAGGTTTTTATAGAAAATTGGTGTTTCTGAAGCCTGCAGAACCAGAGTTATATTTCAAAGCAGATGCAACTTCAAGGAAATGCATTGAGTGACCCAAGCAAGCAGCAGCACTAATGGGCATTTCTAGGAGTGCTATATATTCGTTATGTCCACAGAAGCCTCTACCTCTGCTACAGCAAAAAAAAAAAAAAAAACCCAAACAACATTTTACATAGGTTTCTCATCCAAATAAAGAGGTTCCCCCTCCAGCCCCCTATCTGGGTCATAAAGCTTGTTTTTTCACTTCACAATCTCAAGAACTGTGTTTCTTTAGCCATCCTATTTTACACCAGCCTATCAGAGCATTTCTGAGTATACTTGTCTGCATCTCTACTTATTTCAAAAAAGGCACTGATTTCCTCTTTTGATCTTTCTTTGCTAGATTTTAAATGCTTTATGTACAGCAAATGGGTACCAGTATTGTCTGGATGCTTCCTATACAGCCCCTTCAAAATGATCAGATCAACAGGCAGCAACTCATTCTTCAATTTGTTTGGTAGCAAAGTTTAAGTTTGAGCCCCTGGGCAATCTTGGGGAATCTGAAGATAAATCATCCCCTACTTTTCCTCTTAGTTTCTCTAAAATCTTAAAGGGAAGCTTCTGCTCACAGAGATCCCTGAGGATAGAGCTTGCTGTTTCATGTTTTGAACTGGAAACAGTCTGGGTACACATCTTGGAACACCAACTAAAAAAGACCCCAAAACTGTGGAGTGCTTCCAGGGCATGTTTCTGGTTGCAGGTGCAGTCAGGCTGGTGTAGCCAGGGCAGGTATTTTATTGGCACTTCTGCATTCAGAGCTTACAGTGGAGGCCATTTATAGAATCATAAGCATATAGCATAGAAACTATCTATAACAGCTAAAAAAAAAAATCTAACAAGACAGGTGCTGCTGTTTTTTCATCAGAAAAGATGAGCAGATACTTCCTGATGTCCTGCATGGCAGGAAGGGCATAATTGTTTACTTGATAACAAGGGATAAGGCAGCTTTGCCTTGCAGTGTTAGGAGTCCTCAGAGTGTCTCCGAAACAGAAGATTCCATTTATACTTGCTGCAAAACTCAGTTTAATTGCTTATTGAAGTTGTTACATGAAACTTTTTTTTAATAAAGCAGAAGTGTTTATGGTACCTTCTTGAGAAATGCTGCCTTACAGGCTTCTACCTGGCATTTATTTTTTACTGCTACTCCCATTGTGTGTGTAGTTTTACACTGACAGATATTACAGTGTTAGTATTTTACTTGAGGAAACTCAGTTTGCTGAGATTTGTACTAACAATGCATTGCTAGACCTTGTACCTATTAAAACTAAAGTTTAAAAAGTTCACTTGCAATTCTCAAAATGCTCCATGTACACAGCAAGAGAGAAGGGCACACAAGTCCAGAGTAAACTGTGAAAGCAAGCAGCTAGAAAAGGCACTAAAATACTCAGCAACACAGACATAACCATACAATCATTCATAAAACAAAACTTATTTTGAGATGAAGCTACTGATTGTATCAGGAATAACAAACCACAGTAATGAACCACTTCCTCTGTACAGAACATGCATCATACAGTAGGTATTTTTACATGGGTATCAGTCTACCATACCACAGTGTACACAAGCCTTAATAGTCTCAATTCCTCCACATCCACACCAGCTGATGCATGTAGGGACTGCAGAACCAGACCATGGTTCTACTGTAGTCAGAGCTTAAGGAAAAAAGGTGGCTAAATGTGGTATTTCTATTAAACTTATTTAGTGGCTGAAGCTGTGAAGATACAGTCCAAACAGCTGCAGTTTATACAAAAATAGACCTGGACCTTTTCTTGCACAAGGAACTCTGCTTCCCAAGTCTGCAGTAGTGAATCAAGTGCACAATACCTCTGCAAGTTTTATGTGGAAATTAAATATTAGCAAAAACATAACAACAATGATAGGAAAACCAAACAACAAAATTTACTTCTAAATATATAACCTATTAGATTCAGTTTATCTGGTAAAATAGAGCAGATCAGAATTTTAATAGAAACATGAAAGAGTGCATAGAACAAAGCTACAATAGAAAATAAAGGCATAATGATGTATGTGAAGAAAATACAATGTAAATTTGAATACAATGGTCCTACATCAGAAAACTGAGTTTGTTTTAGTAACATCATGAAAGAGGCATAAATTGGAGAGACTCAAAAAATATACATAAATGTTACCTTGAGCTTCTGAAATCTTTACATTATTCCTATCTTCTGCTTTATTATCTAAGACAGGATCTTCCTAGATTAAGAAAAAAAGTATATCACTTACTGCAGACAAATAAGGAAGAGGGTTTATACTCAGATGCTTAGGGCCAGAGCTTATTAGATGGATTCTCAGTGGAACAAACTGTACTGAAATAACTGAATCTGACATGGAACATACAGACTAGCTCAGCATTTTTTATTAATGCAAGCACACGTTTAATTCAACTACCAAGAAAACCATCTGTAATACTAAAATTGTAACAATAGATATTGAAATAATACTATCAGCGCATCAGTTATCATTTTCCTATTGCCTGTGATTCAACAATTTAGAGGCATATACAGATTTAAAGGTCCAAGTGGTTTATTTTCATCTCAGCACCCCCAGTCTCCCTAGCAATGCTAACTGAGGCAGTGGGGCCAAAACCCCTGAAGCTCCACCTCCTCCTCACCTACAGACAGTGTAGATCAGTACACATTTGCACGTTCTAGCATGACTAAAAGTATTTGCTGCCTACCGCAACTGACCCCAGAAATATGTGCCTCCAACTGCTGAAGCCTGCACAAGCACAGTAGTCCCAAAAGCCATCTCAGGCACTCCAAACATCAGCAGCAGGATGCACAAGCCTGTCATACACTCATGCCTTCAGCAAACTTTGCTTTGGGCTTTTTTCTAGTCAGATTTCCCCAGGGAAAAATCCCCATACAGAAATTAGTTTAACTTTAGCTGCGGCATCTCTAGCTGTATGTATACGGCTGCACAAGAAGATCCCAGAGCAAATTTATTGCCAGTCAATACTGTGGCTGCAGCAGCTCACTCAGGACTGGTGTGGGACAGCTCCAGGGAGGTTTCACCAGTGTCCTGCTTATGGACAAACAGCACCTGTACCCACAGCACAAAGCTGCCCCTCTGCTTCTCACCTTGCTGCTCCTCTCTAGTCTCACAGACACACAACTACCAGCAAGGCTGCTGCTGGGCACTGTGCTGATGCACTTGTTCAATACTGCTTTAACAATGACAGATTCCTAACCAGAGCAGTAAAATTAAAGCAAGAATGTACTGAAGACATAATGTCTTGCTTAAATATATCTGAAAACACAGAGTTTTAAAATTAATGTTATAGTAAGACATGCAGTAAAACAATTAATGGCCCTTTTCTAGATCATAAATCACAAAAAATTTCAACAAGCTACACATGACACTTGTGCTCTTACATTCATATCCTGGTTCTCTTTTTCTGGATCATCTCTGTCTGCTCTGAGCACCTGAAGAGGCACATTTGTTTCTCCATGCTTTAGGACATTTTTATCAACATTCTCCATTCGTTGTTTTTCAGTTGTAACTTTAACTTTCAGCATATGAAAAGGCGTTGGCACTTCACCCACATTCAGATACATAGGCTCCCCCTCAAATATCATCCCCTCACATTCACCCTCCTTAAAACCAGGAGGCTGGTAATCAGATGGAGTAACTGCAGAAAAGAATTCATTAAATATGTTGGAATGAAAACACATTATTGTAAAATTAATCTTAACTTGTGCAGCAAAAGGACTCTTTTCCCCTTTAAATAAAGAGCTACTCCAAAAAAAATTGTGTGGGGAAGGAAATGATCAATATTCAACTTGTACTAAATGAAGTTTTTTCCCCCTACACAACAGGCAAAACCCAATTAAAGCTATTTGAAACAGTTTATACGTGCAAAGAGACAAGCTGTAAGCTCTGATTTTTCATTATAAAGCAATAATACATTCTGAAAGCAGAGCTAGATGTTTAAATAGTCATCCAAACTACAACTAGTCTGGCAAACATGTCACACCCTAACATACCGAGGAACTCAATTTGTTTAACACACTGAAATGCCTGCTTCAATTACAAGACTGTGTTCCTACAGTAAGATCAAATCTATCCTCCTTGATTTGTAGCTATTGCTGTGATAAGCAGACACATGCAAAATAATATCATTTAACAAGTCCCAGCAACCATAAAGATTATATATAATTTATTTCGGTTGTGTTCCAATGTCCAAACACAGTTAATAAATCAAGCTAATATGGAAATACTACCTTCATCATAATAAAACAGCTTCATAGTCAGGCAAACATCATTTGGTAATGGACTCAGGTTTTGCATCAGAATGTAAATCTTGCGAATGAGGAGAATACTTGCTTTCTTGGTGTCTGCACAGGTGATTGTAGAATCATTCCTTTTATTCTTACTAAAAATGGACAAAGTATTCAGATTTTTTATATATACAGAGTAAGCTGTTTCTAATATTAAGATATACGACCTTACCCATGACAGACTAGGAACGACACAAGCAGACATCACATTACCTAAAGCGTGAGATTACAAGCACTGCAATTCCTAATACTAAGTGACCTGCATGTTCTCTGCCCCTTGGAAGATCAAGTACTGAGCCAGGAACATCATGACAGTGTTACAGTTCAGCAGCTGTGACCAACTACTGTATTTTACATTACACAATGCTTAAAAATACCCTATCTGAAATACAGAAAAAAGTAGATACTTTTGAGAGCCCCAATTCTGCGAAGTCTTACATACTTGCTTTCTCTTGAATAAAACAAGTATCACTATTGACAAGAATGGTTACAAGAAAATACGAGCCCTAAGCGACTTCTGGCATCCAGCTCTGACATTTCCATGCTCCTGTTCTACCAGCAGCTGACCCAAATCCTACCTTACTGCCATTAAAAGTGCTCTCCCGCTACTCCCCTTCTCACAGCCACAGAGCTTAGAGAGGCACATGAAGACCTGAACAACCAGCACAAGGCAAGCAACTGTGAGTTATTTCATTGGGTAACCCTGTCTTTTGGAAGCACACCCTTAATCACAATTGTTTTAAACATCTCACCCCTCTGCAGGTGGTCATCTCCTTCCCCACAGGGTGTCAGAGAAACAGGCTCATGTCTTGTATTATCAAATTTGTCTGGCGTGAATTTATGCTAATACACTAAGGAAACCTGGTGTGGCTGAGTCACATTCCCTTCCGCCAGTGTTTTTTACATGATTTACAACCTCTTTCAGAGGGTCTAGGTGTGCAGCACTGCAGCTTTTTTAATTTAAAAAGCATTCTATGCAGGAGAGCTGAGAAAAGTTTAGGTATGAACTTGCTAGATCTCTATTACTGGTCTTAAAATAAGCCACTTCCTTGCAGCTGTGACTGACCAATAAACCCCTACAAGAGAAGGCAGCTCAGTGCACATAAGCAAGGGTGATACGCCTATGAAGCTCAGGGAATAATGTGGGGCATCACTGACCACAGCTGTTACAAAGAAAGCTGACTACCTCAACACACAGGGGACTTAAGCAGTTTCATTTTAGAGGTCTTCATTTTAGAGACATAGCTGTGTCAGTTGAAGGGATTAACTGGAGGTGTAAATGTTCCTCTGGAGTTCAATAAAAGCGTGTGAGTGTCTCCTTAAGTTAGCCAGACTAGTACGGGGGAGTGAATATGTAGCCAAGCCCAGATAGTATAAAAACTGAACAACAAAAGAATTGCAAAGACAGCAATGGGCTAGAGCTGGCTTCAACAAATGTATTCCTTCCCTATGACTGCAGGTGCCCAGTGTCATGACAGTGAGCATATTATAGAGACCAGTAATGGAAATCACACTGGTAATGTGAGCAAACTGTGTATTGCAATAGTACATTTGTATTGCATTTTCATTGTATTTCAGTGTATCATCTCTGCTAAATGATAAATCCCATGTAACACCAAGTATCTTCAGATAAATAAATCTGATATTAAACATTTCAACCTCCACACACAGAGTATCTTAAAGAACCTGGTTAGAGTACTGGACTCAGACAGAGAATCATCTTTTGAGTGGATATTTAAAAATATGAGCATAATCTGACAAAATTATTCATTGTATTTTAAAATTAAGTCCAAGTTAGTAATATATGTTGATAAAAGCAGTGTTAAGATCCAGACCCAAAAAAGGAAGCACCAAACAGATAAAATCCAATGTTTTTACATTCAGGTATATACAAATGAATTGCTAAACCACAGAGCAGAACAGTCACAGTGACAGTACCTGCTGAAATCCAGGAGTGGCCCATTGTGAGTATACTTGAATTTGAAGTGGTAACATTCTGTAATTGTCTGCAAACAAATCCAGTAATTAAGCTATCAGCTGTCAAGAAAACTACTGCTGCTTCTGTCTAGTAATCTATTAACCTTGCATTTAAAGAAAATGCTAGCCCAACTCGTGATTCACTTACATGCACTGAACACAGCTTTCTAATGTTGTAAAAATTAACAATAATAATGTATGTAACTGTAAAATAAAAATTATGATCTACATTATTTTCCAGGAATCACCATGATAAAATATGCTGAAACATCAGTTTAGGTTTTTAGAATTCAATACCCATTCAAATTTTAATCACTATGAAAATGTTCCTCACACATAACAGACATGGTATCACCCAGTAGTTAGATAAAACATGCTGTGTTTTTCACAAAGCAGTTACATAAACTTCTTATGCAGAGTTAGGCTGATGCATCTTTATGGGCATTTAACTCTGCAGTGACATTTTGCGTTTCTTGTACTGGCCTTAGAATAACCTAACACTCAACATTCAATGGGAATTCACTACATGGCCATTCTGACTGGCTTTAGTGATTCTAACATTTGATATTTTAAGATGGTCTTTTTTTAATGTGCATTAATGTGAATGTTAAGTATTATTGCTTGTATACACATTTCACTATATCCATACTATCATTAGTCATCCAGTAAAAGATTCTAGCAGATTTACCTGAGGATCTTCTGGATGGGTATAAACCTGCATTTAAGTTGAGAGGAAACAGAGTAAGAAGTGTACATACCTGTAAGCATATACCTTAAAAAAAAATGTGTGCCTTACTTTTCAAAGATACTTACTGCTAGGACAATCATTCTTAGCTGTCAGAAACATAATTAGAGAAAGAAAAGGAACATTAAATGTATACCATAGCCCATTTCTGCTTACCAAGCCGTTTTGTTTCCCTAGCTCTGGAAATCAATATAGACAACTAAGGCCTGTTTGAAGAGAAACCTCTTAATCTGCTTAATTCCTTACCTAAGAAAGGACTTGCTCAACTGGCAGAAGAAAATTCCTACACATCCCTGACTAAGTGTTTCTGTTTACAAAGAATATTATCCTGAAATATTTGTGCATACCATGTTGTAGCTAACTGTTTTAACATATTAAAGCTCAGCTATTCCCGAACGAGAATATCCTATAACTACACTAGCAGCTAATGGACTTACATAAGAATGTTTCCATGCACTTAAAACCGCTAAACAACACTGGAGAACTTACATATTTCTTCTGCAAGGCATCGTAGCATCCTAACATCCTGCAAAAATCAAATTATACTGTCCATCTACTAGTAATTTATATTTGTTTTGCTTCTGACTACGTAGTCCCAAAAATGACATCCTTGTGTTTAGCCTTAATATTGTATTAAAGCAATAAATAATACTTATTCCATTATTCTACCTTCTTATTAATGATAGAAGCAATGTCTATCTTTAACACCAAATCACCTTAACCTCTTTGCACAGTAAGTAAAAATATAATCTAAAAGTAAATACTTTATCAGTAAAAACATAATGCAATTGTACACCTACCATTTTCAAACACCCAACACATGTATTCATTAGTGAGTTTATAAATAAGTACTTAATTTGAACACTGACATCTCTGAAGCACAAAGGAGTTATTTGCCTTTAATTAGATATTGCAATTTGCTTTTTATTACACACACGAACAACAGTCAAATAGCAAACCAAAACTTACCCTCATCTTTTTCAAACGTTTCTTCTGAACGTAGTCAACAAACAAAAATTGGCATCAGCATGTACATGATGCTTAGTTAAGAAAGGCTACTCACCTGTAAACTCCAAACAGGTAGCACATGCCCTTCACACAAAAATCAGGGAGCTTTTCCTTGTCAGCAGGCTGCCACACCACCACCCTCGCTAATGTTTGATGCATGAGTGTAAGGTGAAAAGGCACTCCATGCCACTTCGGTTTCCTCTACCACAGAAGATCAATTAAGAAATTCCAGGTTACAGTAAAAGAAGCCTTTTTCCCCCCCTCTGTATAGTGACAGCACACGGACAGAGATTACTAATTTCACCTTTATCAGCAGAACTCAAGACCTACATCTCTGAACATCTCAACACTGATACAGCTGCAAACCCACTCTGCTGAATGCAGCATCATTTCTGATGCCCTACCTTGTACTGCAAGTGGTAAAAGTGTGAAAAGAACAAAGATGGCCCTTAAAGAGGTAACAAAAAAATAGGAATACAAGGCAAAGGTCTTTTTCTAAAGAGCAAGGAGAGCAGCCATGAAGAAGCCTGGCAGTTATCATGAAAAGAAAGAAAATAAATACCTCTAGTCCCAAGTGACATACACTCAGCTGTATGAATGTACAAGCAGACAATCATTTGCAGACAGAATTCTGCTTTTGAATATAAAGGCCAACAGTACCACTTTCTTATACAAGTCTGAGAGCAAGATCTTTAAATTCAAGATGCAAAATGTTAACACTGTCTCCTGTTCAACTAGAGAGGAACTACTGGTTAGATTTTTGCATTTATGTGCATCCTTGATCACTCCTACAACCACAGAAACTAAATATAAAGTATCATCACTCTGCAAATAAGGATTTGTGCCCTACTAAGCACCAAGTTGTAAGACTTTCTAGAAACAAAACTATACAAGTCAATTACATCTCTACCAAAACACACACATTGTGAATTTCTGTTGAAAAAAACCTGTCAACATAGCAAATACCAAGTATTGAAAGCACTGCCTGGGCAGTTGTTCACTTGTAACAAATGAACTTTTTTCTCTGTATCTGCAAACAACCAGAAAGGTATCTCTCAGAATTGTTATGCTATCAAACTGTTATATACACACTGTAATTAACATACCATTTCACCAACTGAGTAGAGCCAGGACAGTTCTTGTCTTCCCTCAGAATTTTGACACAGACGTCTCAAAAAAACAATATATACATGCATATTTAATTAGAACAAAATGCAACTACATTGCTAAGAAAGTGAAGCTCATTCCCTAAAAGTATATATTAAAAGCATACTAAAAATCAACATTACTGGAAGATGTAGGCATGGTTTTAGTTGTTGAGTTAGCATCACTATAACAAAATTCAGTAATGAATGTTAGTGAAGTTTCCATTACAGTCATTTTAAATGACTATTAATTTAAACCACCAAGGGGCTTTTAAAAACACTCAGGAACTTCTCAACAACCCTATGACAATAGACTTGTCAGGCTGGAGGGGTGGGCCTGTGCAAACCTCTTGAAGTTCACCAAGGCCAAGGGCAAGGTCCTGTCCGTGGGTCAGGGCAATCCTAATCACAAACCCAGGCTGGGCGAGGAGCAGCTGGAGAGCCGCCCTGCAGAGAGGGACTTGGGGGTGTTGGTGGGGGGAAAACTGCCTGTGAGCCAGCACCGTGTGCTCACAGCCGAGAAACCACCCATGCCCTGGGCTGCAGCCAGAGCAAGGTGGGCAGCAGGCCCAGGGAGAGGATTCTCCCCCTTTGCTCCACTCCCCTGAGACACACCCCGACACACACATTTGCAGGGCTGTGTCCAGCTCTGGGGTCCCCAACATCAGAAGGACACTGACCTGAATCAAACAGGTCCAGAAGAGGCCATGATCAGGGGGCTGGAGAACCTCCCATATGAGAACAGCGTGAAAGAGCTGGGGGTGTTCAGCCTGGAGAAGGCAGGTTCTAGGGAGACCTTAGAGTGGCCTCCCAGTGCTTAAAAGGGGTACAGGAAAAGTGAGGAGGGACTCTATCAGGAGTGGGGACAGGATGAAGGGGAACAGTTTTAAACTGACAGAGAGCAGATTTAGATTAGACCTAAGGAAGAAATTTTTCCCTGTGAGGGTGGTGAGGTAGTAGAACAGGTTGCCCAGAGAACTGGTGGCTGCCCCCTCCCCAGAACAGTTCAAGGCCAGGTTGGACAGGACTTGAAGCAACCTGGTCTAGTGGAAGATGTCCCTTCCCATGGTGAAGAGGTTGGAACTAGACGGCCTTTAACATCTGTTCCAACACAAACCATTCTATGATTTTGCAACAAATCATGAAAGCAGCCTGTTACCATCCATGTATCTTGTTCCATAGGCACTTTCAGGAAAGATTCCTCTCAGATATGTAATGCAGGATACTGCTACTGCCAGGAGCCTCTTCACTAGCATCAGGGATTGCTGCTCAGTAGATACTTTGTTAGGAAATACAACTGCGCTCTGAAGTGAGAAAAATAAAATAATTAATCTCCGTCCACAACAACAAACCTGTACAGTCTACAAGCTGGTCCAATGGCTACTTAACATTTTAATTTAACTGAAAGTATGACTCTTGTAATTTATAAAATTAAGCATATTCCTAACACTTGATGTTACTGTTTTTAGGACGTAGCTGATTTCTACGAAGTTCATGACCATGAAGTTCAGACTTGATCTAATTTGCTACTAAACATCTTTATTCATAGTTAGAAGATTAGCCTGTACTTTTGAAGTGAAGAAGTATTACAGAGCACCTGAGTGCACTATTTCAACTAAAGGTGATTTTTCCAATTCAAATATACTGTGCTGAAATACACAAGAAAATCATACCACACAATTCCTTTGCTTCTGAGCAGTTGCCATGTTGCAGAGACTCTTCTGTTAATAAAACATCTGCATTTACACATACATGATCACCATTCACAAGTGCACACAAGCCCCGACTACAGCTATTCAGCTTTAACAAATCAGCACCTGAACCTACAAACACTTTGTGGACAATTAACCTGTATCAGTTGAAACAAATGTCATAATTTTAAGGGGCTAGAGAACAGTTCACCTCATCATCACCAATATTAATTCCTTAGTTTTCACCCCAGCACAGACCTCCCCCCAGCCTAACAGATTTTCAAATGACCCTAAGAAAAGGCTCTCCACGTTTAAGTCACCTCCAGCCAAAATTGAGTCATCGCAATTGGAGAACTCCTCACAACTTGTATTTTCTCTGTAATTTAAGTACTAGAGAAAAAGACCCCTCACTAGCTGCTCTTTTTGTTGAGCCATGTTTCCATCGAGCCTTTAACCCTCAGCACTTCAAGCCTTCCCCACCACCTGTAAAAAAACCAGCCTCCTCAAGGTATAAAAGCCACAACCAAACTGAGACAGAAAACAAGAACAGCACAGACGAAGAGGGGGAGAACCGAAAACCCGCAGGAGCTGAAGAACCGGCCACAACCCCCCGCACCGAGGGAGAGGGCACACGCCAGGCAGGCCCGACCCCCTCTCACCCACAGGAACCACGGGCCGCCCCAGGCCAGCCCGCCGCCCTGCTCTTATAAGGCAAGGGGCCGTGTGCAAACGCAGGGGCGGGGCTCGCCTTCCGCGGGCCGTGCGCAGCACCGCCACATAAAGCGCCTCTCCAACTTCCCCCCCCGCCTCTCCTCAAAATGGAGGCGGCTTCGGGGGTGAGGAAGGGGTCGAATTTGACCTGCGTCAGGCAGGTTACAGTATTGCGTTACTGCTTTTTAGCTCATTCACAGCAGCTGTCGTTACACAAAGACTTTTTAAACCACAGTGTAGGCTTTGCGTCAACACAATTTATGCTTAAATGTAAAGCAGAGGTTTTAGTGAGATTGCAGTCTCAACTAACAGGTTATACATGAAGAATTTTTTGCTTCATAATAGGTTTTATCTCCCTGTTCAATGCAAGTTCTGTGCTTGATTCCAGGTTGCATTGTGTGGGTATGATGGCAGCTCAAAGTGACAGTGACAGTGTTGGTATTTTAGTATCATTACAACCAAAGCTTGCATCAAGGTGAAACTAATGTTTCTAGAAAATTTTCTACTCTGCTCATTCTAAACTTGCAAATAGAACAATGACAGGTAAATGACTGATTTAAGGGTGTTGTGGTTAAAAGAAGGAACCAGGAGATAAGGAAGTGAGTTACTCCAACTTTGTGTAAACAATGCATGTCTAGCTAACACTAAAATTACTGATAAGAGGGAAACATCCTGCCCCAGAAGGTACCAGAAGATTGATGATTATCTGAGAAGTGTGAAGGCAGTGAAAATTGACAGTAACTGGGTAAAGATAAAGGTGACAGGGAGGGGAGACTGCAACCACTGACTCAATTTAAGGCCAAGAAGACATGAGCCCCCTCCCCCCCCCCCCCCCCCCTTGAGATTGTGCAGGAAAATTAAAAGACACTAACTTTAAATCAAGATGAGGCATGTTGCTAATCAATACAGGACAAAGTGATAAGTTACTAACCACTGGTCATTAATGTGTATTCATGTAGTCTGAAGAGTAAATGTATATTGAAGTTCTTTTGTACGGTGTGCTAGCTTTGTGGAATTACCACCTAGCAGCCTACTCTGCACAGATGTGGAATAAATAAATACCTCTGCTCTGTGTGTATATTGGTGTCGTGCACACTGAACAAATGTTGTGGGACAGCAAAACCACTGACAGCAGCTATTTTCCCTCCCGACGCTTTTGGCAGAAGTGGGATGGTCCATATCCTCCCTTCTCAAATCACAAACAAAATGAAAATAAAGAGCAGCTGGCCACGGTGAGGGCCTCAATGGGACCATGGAAGGCCAGGACACTTGGCCTGCAGAGACATTTGGCCTTCAAGGAGACCAGCTCTATCTGAAGCTCTTCTCCAAGCAGCAGGAGATGTGTGCACAGCTTTGTGATCCCTCAGTCAGCTCTGGGGATCTTGGCCCTGCTTCTGGATAAAATAAATGTATTAAACAAAAAGTGTATACTCAAGCTGAAGGTGTGGGTGGGCAACATCATTTGTGAGAGGTTTCCCACCTGGAGGAGCCCTTGAAACACCACCCCTTTCCCAAGGAAAAGTTTCTGTCCTGCTTTTTTAGCAAGAAGAATTCACCATGACACAGGCAAGCAAATTGTGACATGGCTGCCAGGGACAGCAAGCAGGCAAATTTGAGCGTCAAACAGTTGGGCTGTATGAAAAAGGAGCTGAAGCATCTTGTGAGAGGTACCTACTTGGGGGAGCACTGCCAGGTGACAAAGTACAAGCTAGAGCCAGGACAGCTGGAATTCCTTCTGCCTCCAGATACCTCATACAGGATTTTTAGGCAGTGAAACCGATCATTAATTTTTAAAAGAAAGACTTCAATTTCATCCACACTGCACAGAGATAAAGTGGTATCTATGTCATGGTGTGTGAGCCAGCACAGGCAGGACACAGGAACAACCATAAAACGACGGATGAAATTCTAAGAGTAAATTTATTCTCGTTACCTCGCGACCCTGGGGATCTCTGCAGCAGCACCTGGGCAGAGGCATGCAACCAAGGACGCTGGCACCATGGAGCTCAACCCTTGCTAGCCAGAAAGAGGCGAAGAAAGAAAAAGATCTCGAACCCGCTGCTTTTGCCTGTATATATCGGGGATTTTCGCAGGTGTACTTTTCCACTGTGCTTTGACCTTTCCCACAGCAGGGCAGGAATCTCAAGGACATTTGATAAGGTGCCTCTGAGTCTCTCACAGGCCTGTGTTACCTAAACGCAGTCATTGTACCTGTCAAGCACACAAAGCTAAACAGTTAGTATGATACATGTATTTTTCAGCACCCCAGCTGCAAGTTACTTGAGTGTGTTTACAGTTTTCCATTATATTCCAACATTCCACGCCCTTGATCAGTTGACCACTTCTGCTAGGGCTGCTAAAGCTGGATGTGTTCATTTGGGTTTGCAGGGTGTAGTGCAGAGCAATGTACAGAGGCATACAGTAAACACACAAAGAAAGAAAAAGGAAAAAAAAAAAGAACAAACATGTCTCTACAATAATACTTTTGGATCAGACATCCCATTCATCCTTTCAGAGAGTTAATCAACTCAGCCAGGCACCATCAGTAGATTGTTTCATTGGATGCATTAGGTCCTAGGGATGTTGAATGTCATCCTCTGTGGTGGCTCATCCATCAGTGATGCTGAAGCAACACATGCCTTCAAAATTGAAGCAGTGTTTATGTTGTCAAAGGAGGGAATAATCCACTGTCAGTCAATTTTGTGATGTTCATTAGTGTACAGCTGTTACCTACTCAGAAAAAATAGCAGTAAGAAACATTAATATCAAAATCACTTAGCATAGTATAATTCTGTAACACAGCTACTGGAGTTAGCATGCCAGTGAAACACGTTGTCAAAAGATCTGCAGTTGTTAATGTCCCTTAATATAAAAGGCAGATGAGGCAGTGTCATGGTTTTAGCCCAGAGGGCAACTGAGCTGCAGCCATTCATTCACCCCTTCCCCTCTCAGGAATGGGAAGGAGAAAATGAAGCAAAATGGCTCACGAATCCAGGTAGCGAGAGGGAGGGATGACTTACCCATTATAATCATGGGCAAAAGACAGACTCAGGGGAAGAAAAAACCCATTACTTTAATTCAAACACTAACAAAGACAACACTAACAGACAAGGTGGGACAGTAAGAAGTGCCAGCCACATCCAAACACTGCTCCCACCACCTCTCGCTTCTTCCCAGGGTTCAGCTCTGCTCCCCATCTCTCTACCTCCTCCCCCAGCAGCGCAGGGGGCAGGGGATGGGGGTTACAGTTAGCTCACGGCTCCTTCCTTCTTGGGGTGGGGTAGGGTGAACGCTGCACGTTCCTCCCCTGCTCCACGTGGCTCCCCTCTCACTGGAGACTGTCTGCAAACCTTCTCCAGCATGAGTCCTTCCCACAGGATGCAGCCATTGCCACGCTGCTCTGGCGCGGGTCACCCCGGCGTGTTGCAGTCCTCCCAGCACTGGCGTAGAACAGCGGGGGCTGATTTTCCCCTCAAGACTCCTCGCTTCCTTTAAGCGCAGATGCCTGTCCCAGTGTGGGCTCCTCCACAGCCTTCAGGTCGGCCTTTGCTCAACTGTGGGCCTCCGTGTGTGGCAGGGTGGGCGGCCCTGCCGTCTCACCACGGGATACAGGGGTCTCTGCTCTGGCGCACCTTGCACTGACCTCAGTGTTTGCGTAGGTGTCCTTCTTGTAACTCCTCCTTGCAAGTCCCAACCCCCTCTCAGGTTTCTCTTCTTGCAGAGGCACAGCCACCATTGCTAATTGGCTTGGCCTTGGCCAGAAGGAGATCCAACTTGCAGCCAGGGGAGCTTTCAAGAAGCTTCTCACAGGGGCCATC